TGAATTCCGGTAAAAGAGCTGTTTTTTTTTAGGCCACTATTATTAATACATTTTAATCAATAAAGAGCCACGGGTATGGCGTAGGACCGTCTTTAGGACTGGCGGTAGGACTATTGTTTAAAGGCTGGCAGGCAGGGTGTAGGAATGTCTGTAGACCTATTCTTTAAGGCCCGGCAGGTAGGCTGTAGGACTGTTCATATGCCTATTATTTAAAGGCCGGCAGGTAGGCTGTAGGACTGTTCATATGCCTATTATTTAAAGGCCGGCAGGTAGGCTGTAGGACTGTTCATATGCCTATTCTTTAAGGCCCGGCAGGTAGGCTGTAGGACTGTCCATATGCCTATTCTTTAAGGCCCGGCAGGTAGGCTGTAGGACTGTTCATATGCCTATTATTTAAAGGCCGGCAGGTAGGCTGTAGGACTGTTCATATGCCTATTATTTAAAGACCGGGATATATTAGAGAAAATGAGAAGTTAACTATTTTTTTTTCTAACACTTGGACACACCGGGTATTTTCTCAAAATACCCGGACCCGGTGTAAAAACGGCACCCGGTTCAGCCCAAGTTCAAATTATAGCTGTTAGTCTCAAACGCAAGCGCACTTGGGCCTGTGCACTGACAAGGCTCGCGGTCATGTGTTTAACGAAGGTGATGTCATTGTTAACGGGTGCATTAAATGATATTTACAAGCAGTGTCGTAGCGAGGGGCGGGGCAGGGGGGGACAGATGTCCCCGGGCGCCAGGTAGTTAGGGGCGCCAAAATGTGCTTTGATATTATATTATTGGTAAAAATAATGGGTTTGAGAGTTGAAAAAAAAAGAAAAGGGGGCGCTTTAAAATGGATCTTGTCCCTGGGCGCGAATCTTGTCCCCGGGCGTCAAATACCCTCGCTACGCCTCTGTTTGCAAGTAATCAACTGAAAATACTACTTAACTTGATTAGAAACGAACAGGAATGATCCATTACAACCAAATAAATATAATAATAGTAAAATGTACTCTATACATTTTAATACACAAGGATATAACATGCGTTTTAAGTTGCAAGGGGACAGAGAGATTGGTAAAATAATTGTGCTCCCCTCTCGGATACTACTTCTCAACTAAGTGCTATTATGAAAATGAGAGTTTCAGTACTAATAGTTTTGGTGAGAGTTTCAGTGCTAATAGTTTTGGTGAGAGTTTCAGTACTAATAGTTTTGGTAAGAGTTTCAGTACTGCTAGTTTTGGTGAGAGTTTCAGTACTAATAGTTTTGTTGAGAGTTTCAGTACTGCTAGTATTGGTGAGAGTTTCAGTACTGCTAGTTTTGGTGAGAGTTTCAGTACTAATAGTTTTGGTGGGAGTTTCTGTACAGCTAGTTTTGACAAGAGTTACAGTACTGATAGTTTTGGTGAGAGTTTCAATACTGCTAGTTGCGGTGAGAGTTTCAGTACTAATAGTTTTGTTGAGAGTTTCAGTACTAATAGTTTTGGTGAGAGTTTCAGTACTGCTAGTTTTGGTGAGAGTTTCAGTACTAATAGTTTTGGTAAGAGTTTCAGTACTGCTAGTTTTGGTGAGAGTTTCAGTACTAATATTTTTTGTGAGATTTTCAGTACTGCTATTTGTAGTGAGAGTTTCAGTACTGCTAGTTTTGTTGAGAGTTTCAGTACTGCTAGTTTTGGTGAGAGTTTCAGTACTGCTAGTTTTGGTGAGAGTTTCAGTACTAATGGTTTTGTTGAGAGTTTCAGTACTGCTAGTTTTGGTGAGAGTTTCACTACTAATAGTTTTGGTGAGAGTTTCAGTACTAATGGTTTTGGCGAGTTTCAGTACTGCGAGTTGTGGTGAGAGTTTCAATACTGTTAGTTTTGGTGAGAGTTTCAGTACTGCTAGTTTTGTTGAGAGTTTCAGTACTAATAGTTTTGGTAAGAGTTTCAGTACTGCTAGTTTTGGTGAGAGTTTCAGTACTGCTAGTTTTGTTGAGAGTTTCAGTACTAATAGTTTTGGTGAGAGTTTCAGCGCTAATAGTTTTGTTGAGAGTTTCAGTACTGCTAGTATTGGTGAGAGTTTCAGTACTGCTTGTTTTGGTGAGAGTTTCAGTACTGCTAGTTTTGTTGAGAGTTTCAGTACTAATAGTTTTGGTGAGAGTTTCAGTGCTAATAGTTTTGGTGAGAGTTTCAGTACTAATAGTTTTGGTAAGAGTTTCAGTACTGCTAGTTTTGGTGAGAGTTTCAGTACTAATAGTTTTGTTGAGAGTTTCAGTACTGCTAGTATTGGTGAGAGTTTCAGTACTGCTAGTTTTGGTGAGAGTTTCAGTACTAATAGTTTTGGTGAGAGTTTCAGTACTAATAGTTTTGTTGAGAGTTTCAGTACTGCTAGTTTTGGTGAGAGTTTCACTACTAATAGTTTTGGTGAGAGTTTCAATACTAATGGTTTTGGCGAGTTTCAGTACTGCTAGTTGTGGTGAGAGTTTCAATACTGTTAGTTTTGGTGAGAGTTTCAGTACTAATAGTTTGGTTGAGAGTTTCAGTACTAATAGTTTTGGTGAGAGTTTCAGGATTGGTAGTTTTTGGAGCATGCTGTACTCAGGGTCGGTATTTTCCCGCCATCCGCAGTGTTGTTTTTCTGGCAAGTGGCGGCAAAGATCTTGGCCCGCCTTAGGTGACACTAACCTAGCTGATTTGTATAGTTTATCGCGTGGGCACTGTAACCCCTGCGGCTGCAAAGGGGGGGGGGGCGCTCTCGTATATTAAGGGGCCCAAAGTAGTGATGTGTAAAACATTTTGATTCAAAGAAAAACTATCAACTTTGAATGCAGACGGCACAAAACCGAAAAGTTGCAGTGGCTGGGGGTGGCCTTCAAACGTCACGTGACAGATCTGTGTGTACTTAAGATCTAATAGGTTTGGACCAATGTTGAAGTCTGATATTTTCTTGATTTTACGATTTGGCTGGTCAATTTGCGAAATGGCATGATGCGATCGGCCAGGTTCATAGAGATTTTATCCTGTTAAAACGGATTCAAGAGTGAGTTGTTTCATGTGGAGAATGGAAAATTCAACTCTGGAGTAGGCGTTGTTTGGGAACACCATGATCAGTTCCCAGATTGTAAAAAGCGACGTTCACGACAAATGCGCGATACTCTTACATCAGCACAGTGGCCGGCAAACCTTTTATTTTTTGTACCAAGGCCGGTAAAGAACTCTCGTGGAGCTCTGGTAAGGGGAGGGAGGGGGTGTCGGATTGATAGTGAAAAATTCAAGGTAGTCCTACAATTACATGTGAGTCATGTGTGATTGAAGAATCTCACAAGTTCACAAATGTTAATTTATTATTTTTTAAAAACCACATATGATATTTAAATCATGATACACAGTTTTTCTTTATTTTTCCTTGTAAAACAACAAAGAGCAAGATTATTTTTTAAATTTGTGTTTTTCCGACATAGTCCAATTACATTAATTTAATTGAGACTCCAAATAAAATATAATTGGATGGTAAAAAGTTTAATTATTGCACAATCGTATTTTTTCACATTATTTAGTTAGGACTCAAAGTTAAGATAACATCGACATATTATGCAAGTGTGCATTAAATAAGGCCGCTCTATAGCCAGATATTACATATTTCATTTTTTAAAATAATTCCTTCTCAAAGAAGTAATCAGCGGTGTCAAGACAGAGATGAATTCACGAACAAAGTGGGTTTTTTTGTTTTAAAAAAGCAAATCGATCGCATATCGGAACCACTTATTTTTATAGAAATCTTTCACCGTCATTTTTCCTCATTTGTATCTATCTTCTTCAACATATCATTGGATTGCACATCGACCACTTCAATTTTAATTTCAGCTGGAAGTGGAAGCTCACCAACAACACAGTCATACAGGTTTTGGATGTTTCTGTTTTTTTTTTTTTTTTTTTTTTTTTCTTGACATTAAAAAATTAAAATTTCGGGGGAAAAAAAAACCCAGTCCCAAAACTGCTGCCTCAAACTGGAATGAACTCGTTCGGGCTTTGGCCCGTTGCTTCTTTTCTTGCCCGAATCTTTCACAGGATGTAAATTGAGTGAAGCAACCCTTCTTCAACACTTCACTAATCACTAGGTGGCTTATTAAACTTATAATTTCACTTTTTTTCCTTTCAAGTTTTGTGTTAGGAATAGCGGTGCCCAGGGTGCACTAGTAAGACGATTTTGCCGCCCCTGTGTTTGTGAAGTAGCCTACATGGGATTTTATTGTTTAAGGGCATATCTTAAGACGATTTTGCCGCCCCTGTGTTTGTGAAGTAGCCTACATGGGATTTTATTGTTTAAGGGCATATCTTAAGACGATTTTGCCGCCCCCTGCTATTGGCGCCAGCCTTAGACCTAACTGGCCCTCTCGCCCCCTCTTTCGCACGGCCCGGGTTATGTAGAGGGTTAGAAGCCCATTTCTGTGCACAGGGCCTCCGCTGCGGCCCTGCCAGTTGCTACATAATATGTGTTTCCACATTGCCTATCTATCTAAGCCTGTGTCTGCCTTTGAGCCGCTTTCCTTTGGAGTTTTGTAGTTGCACCCTCTTCACTCTTCTGTCATTCGGCATTCTTTCTAAGTGTCCCGCTCGGCATGGCCTGCCCTTTTTAATTTCTGCTACTAACGAAAGATCCTAGTATACTTTTAGTTTGTTATCTCATTTGTGTTATTTTCATTTCAGCATGTCTTTTTCGTTCAAATTATTGTGCATGATTATAATTCTGCCGGCACTTGTCAATAGCACCATCACTGAAAATAGCACGACTTTTGTTTCGGTTCCAAAGTTTTGTTATATTCACAGATTTCATTGTATTTCTATTAAATTTCTATAGTCTATTGTAATTATTGTTGCTTCCAGGTCATGAGGAACAGGATTAACAAATCACAATATTCGTTTCTCATGTTACACAAACTATTTTTAGCTGTGACTAATAAGGGAAAAAACCCAGGAGTGACTTGTTAAATCACGTGATGTTTTGGTGCTAAAGTGCACTTTGGACTTTGTACCCCAGGACAGAACCTTCTACGGATTCTACGGTAATAAAAATACGTTAAGTACTGATAGTAAGCTATTAATAGTTCTCTACCTTTGGAAATGCAATAATGTTTACTGCTTTAAATTAGATAGAGCGAATCTACACTTTGAATGTACTCGAAATCGTGTGTATAAATAACAACATTCATCTCAATCACAACAGATAGAACTCTCAAACTCACGACTCAAGTCACGAGATTAGATGCTCTTACTTTTTACGCTTCCTACTTCTTAACCATAACATAACACAAATAATTTTTGTGGATTTGCGCTACTGATCGACATTGTCATTAGATCTAGTGTCATTATTTTGACTTATAATTTTACAACCACCACTCGCTACCAGGGTTCGGCAAACGTAAGTAAATTTAATAAGTTATAGTACCGCTAGTAGGCCTAATTTAATTAGAATAAAATAATTTAATTACTTAATTCTTAATTGCTACGGCTACAGTCTACAGTCTACTGTACAGTTAATCAGGTATACTCAGTTACTGTACAGTGTACAGTCTGACAGTGTACAGTCTGAACTGACTGAACTGTTCTACTATTCAGTAGACTAGGCAAGTGATAATAATAAGTACTCTTTTTATTTTGGTACATTAAAAAAAAATAAATGCAAATAGAATTTTTTCTTTTACGTAGGACATAGTCATAGTATAGTAGTATAGTAAAATTAAAATAAACTTATTTCATTATTAAGTATTCAGTGAAAGGATTTTTAAAGTAACATCATCTTTTTGTTTGAATACAACAAATACATTTTAGAGATTAAAAAAAATTTCCTTTTCATGGTATTGTATAATTTGTATGCATACATATTTTGTAATTGTCTGTGCCATTGTGGAATGCAAGTAGTTTATGCAGGAATGCAAGTAGTTAGTTTATGATTTTGAAGATTTATATGATTTTATGTAGTGCAGTCTGTAGACTGTCGGTTAATAAATACAGTCAGACCTCGGAATCCAAATGCACTAGAACTCGAAAAACTTGTAATCCGAACAAAAATTTCGAGCAAATGTTCGCTCAAAATATGAATGCTGCTTTAGAATCTGAAGGACTACATTTCCCCATCACTCGGGCCACTTACACTAGTAGTCTAGTGTTATGATGGTTGTCGCAAGTTGTTGTTGCAGTGAAAGCATATGGCCAAAGGGATGTTCTCTCATAGTCATAATAATTTTATGCTTTTGTCTATTTGCCATGACATGGGTCCTAAAAAGTGTAGTGATGAAAATAAGAGGACTGTTGTTAGAGCTACAATTGCAGTTAAGAAAGATCTTATTGCTAGGCATGAAGTTGGTATATGTGGCTGACCTCGCTACCATTACTACCATGTTCTGGATGCCTCAATCGACTTATATTTTGAAAAAGAAACTATCAAAGTAGCTGACCTAGCAAAAAGGGATTTGACACTGATATTTAGGATATCGGAAATGATGGAGGAAATGGAAGAAACTCCTCTTAGTTTGGATTAATGAAAAACAGCTGGCTGGGGATGTGAGTTCTGAGATAATTTGTGAGAAAGCCAAGGTCCATCATGATGGTTTAGTGAAAGGCATGCCTGATACTAGTGCTCAAAAGGAGGTGTTGGCTCATAAACATAAGAGTTTGTGTAACCCAGGAACAGCTTAATTCAGTTTTTATTATTTTAATGAGGAAAAAATTGTCTTGGAACTTGAATGATTTGGAACTCAAACAGGGTTCTGGAACATATTTTGTTAGGATTCCCAGGCCCCACTGTAATCTAATTCCCAGGTTTGATTTTGTTATGAGATTTTTGAAGTGGAAGTTAACTATTTACAGACCTGTTTACCCTCAAACTCTTAAAATCGTACAATATCATTACAAAATCGTTTAATAAATCTTAAAAGTAAAAAAATAAACATACAGTACATATAACTATACACCTCTAAATCGTACATTGTACGCCAAAATCGTAAGAGTAAACAGGCCTGTATTTAGGACAGTTATGTACCAGGTATTTGATAAAGACATAGTTCTTCACATAGTCAGTACCGGTACACCATATATATTTTAATTGTGTTTAAGTTAAGATCCATAGTTTTAAGTAATTTTAAATTTATGTTTTGGTGAATATTTGTCAGTAAAATATTAAAAAAAAGATTTATTTGATTTAAAATAATTGTCAATAAATTTTATTGAGTAGGTAGGCTACCCTGATAACATTATCACACTATCACTATCTTGAATATTTTCTCAATACTAAAACCATACATTTATATTGCTGCCAAAGCAAACAGAATATTTAAAAGTTAGGGCTAATCAGTATATGGGAAAATGCCATGATTAAATTATTTTTTTTTCTCTTTTGTTGATTCATACTCCATAACTAACTGGTTCTGTTCATATCATTCAGGAACAATTCAATATGATCTGTGAGGAAACATTTTTCACAAAGCTGGGGGAAATCCCTGTTTTGAATGATGGGTGGACCACAGCTTGGAGTTATTACTCCAAGGTAAAAGACTACAATGGCTTGACAAAATTTACTTTGGACGTAGCTGAGTCTGGGGTGAAAAAAGCTGCAGAGATAACCACACCCGTTGTTCAGCGCTATCAGTCACAGAGTAGGTTTTTCAAATAATGAAATATTTAAATTACTACTCTTTTTAAGAGTATGGCATTTTGGTATATACACACTCCTCTCCTACAGTAAGAGTTATGTTTAAAAAAAAAAGGGTTGGTAGCTATGAGTAAGGACAATTTTTTTTATATAGATCATGGGGTTAATGGGTGAGGTCAGAGCGGAGTTATTATATTTGAATGAGTCATTGCAAGCATGATTCTTGTAAAAAAAAATCTCTCTTCCCATTAATAAATTATTTAACAATTTCTCAATTTCTTTACATTTTTCCAAGATTAAATGCTTTTGTAATTTTGAAATACCGGGTATATAAAAATTATATGGACATTCAAATTATTTTGTTACCTATAGGCCAGAATAAGCGATACAAATTTTAGGAGGTTACAGGGGTGACAGTGGATAAGTATAAAAAAATAACCAAGTCACACAAAAAATTTGAAAACACTGTCCCGCTTTTTGTCTATTTTTTTTCCAATAGTTGGCATAGTCACTATACTCATTTGTGACATCTGTTATTTGTTTGAAGCTTTCTTCAGCAATTCTGTGCTCTGTAAACAAAAGCTCATTAATGTCATAAATTGGATAAGATATAATATATTGCATGACCATTATTACGCAGATGCAGAAGGTATAAATATGACATTATGTAGATAAATATTTTTTGGGAACAATTGAATTAATTTTATTTAAAAAGAAAATTAAATTTGGCTTCTCTAGTATAATGATTTTTGGATACACTAATTGCTACATTTACCTTTTTTCTCTTCTTCATAATCATTTTGAATATTGCTATCAATTAACATGTATATATTTTCTCTGTTTAGTTGATACTGTAAACACATATGCCTGCAACAAACTGGATGATATTGAAAACAAGTATCCTGTAATCAAGCAACCGACTGGAGAGGTAGGTTTTAAGATGTTTTTACTTGATTAAAGAAATGTATTGAAATATATACATATATTTATATTAGGTATGTGAACCTTAGGTACCGGGTAACAATAAGAAAAACTGTATGTCTGTGGCTAGTAACTAAAGCAGACCTGTTTACTCTTACGATTTTGGTGTACAATGTACGATTTTGAGGTCTATACATTATGTATAGTGTATGTTTATTTTTTTACTATTAATATAAGATAATTTATTGAACAATTTTGTGATGATATTGTACGATTTTAAAAGTTTGAGGGTAAACAGGTCTGCTAAAGGGGCATCTTTTTGATAAAAAAAACTGAAATTTCACAAGTATTTCTAACAAAAATGGTTAGCATAATAATATTTTGAAATGAAGATTTATGTTAAACACAAATGAAACTATTTGAAACTACAAGATAAACAATACATGTGTCTTATCTAGTTAAAAAATGCCTGCATGGAGTATGTGCAGCCAGTTGTTGGAAAAGTCAAACCAGTGGTCACATATGCCCAGGATGTTGTCAATAACAGTAAAAGAAGGGTAAATGGAATTTTGTTTTTTATTTTTTGATAAATGAATTTTCTCACTCATTTAACTTTTTAACAATTGATTTTTTTGTTAAGTTATTTGTTACAATAAGGCAAATTCAATAAACATACTCATAGCAATTATCAATTCGTGTTATAATAAAGCGAATATCTTTTAATTGTTAAGCATTTAGCATCAGGCCTAAAACACTGACATAATTGTAAGACTTCAAAATAAATTAAAATCTCATATTTTAACACATCATTTTTCTCCAATATCAATATCAGGTTAACAGTATCAAGCAATGTGGCAGTAATTTGGTGAATGGGGCCCGTGATCTTGGGGTTGACACCATGAATAAAGCAGTTACAGTCACTATGGAGACTCCACCTGGAAGATTTGTAACTAAAACTGTAGACTGTGCACTGACATGTGCCGATAATTTAATGGACAAGTTCATACCAGAGGAGCAACAAGGTTGGTGGGAGATTTGAAATTGACTATTGGATACTTTTAATTAGATATTTTTTATAATAATAATATCAATTTATTTTAAAAATCTTGAAATGCTTTTGTTTACCTTAAGACAATAATTGTATTATGGAAGAGAAAATTTGAGACTCATTATCTTTAGTTTTGTAAATCTTAGTTTAATTGCATACATCATTGTTTCTATAGATCATGACAAAAGCGGCGTGGATGCCCCTGAGGAGCTAAATAAGCCAGAAGAAATGGCGCTCATGGAACCTAGTACTGAAAGAGTTGTTGTTCATTTCAAGAGTGTCAGTAACAAACTGAGAAGAAGAATGTTCCAAAAAGCAATGAAAGATTTTCAAGGGGCAAAATTGCGCACAGTTGAAGCCATCGGGAAATTGCACAATACTGTAGACCTGGTATGAACAATTATTTGACTTTGGCCGGCATTTTCCTTTAACACACAATAACAAAAATTGTAGGAACTAAGTAACAAAAATTTGTTATTCTTGAAACCCATCAAGACGCAAGAGGTACTGTAAGATTATAAACAAGGATGGGGTCACTAAATTTTTACAGAAACATAGCATCTGATTAGTGCCATGCAAACATCATTTTAGCTTCTCAGTGATACATTTTTATCTCTTAGCAACAAAATGTTACTTTTTTGGGGTGCATCTATCTTACGCGACTTACAGATAACTGGTAATGGAAAGGGTTAAATTATAAGCTGTACATAATTAAGTTATTAAATTTTTCTCAATTTGTAGCCAATAGTTTACCACCTTGAATGAATCTAGGCATGTAAAATCCTAATAAAATGTACAGTTTAAAAAAAAGAAAAAAAAGGTGTCTTTTGAAAATCATGTATTTAAAAAAAACTGACTGAAGGGTACATTTCAAGGTATTGTTCTGTTAAGTTTGGTTCATACAAGATTACTTGTTATTGATAGCAGACTATCTGCATATCATGTGCTGGAACATAGTGGCTTAATTTGAATTAAGGTAACATGCAACAAGACTTTTAGCACTGCTTTAGGTTGTAAAAGTTAACTGTGTATTTACAGATTTATTACGCTAAAAAAAATATTGGTACAGCTCGTGATAAAGTTGAAGATATGTGGAGCAGGATAATAGATACAGAAGAAAAAAGCGAGGAGAACTCTGATCCAAATTTGCACTCTGGGGTAAGTACTAAGACTTGTGTATGGAGTTTAGAAAAAGAATATCCCACAAATATTGTAGTGGTCTTAATTGGCTTGATCACACTAAGTAATTAATAGTAATATACACATCAAGTATTCCTAAATATCTATTCTTATTTTTATTTTCAGCTCTTAGAGGAACGCATAGTAACACTGGGGCGTGTTCTTGTTGCCAGAGTTAAATCAGGAGTCTCAGCATTAGAGAAAGCATCTAATGAAGCTGGTCAATTTGTCAGGCATCCCATTAGCAAGTCTAAAGAATACAAAGACTTCATTTACCATTTCAGTTCTGTAAGTATAAAAAATCAATTTCTTGTAACGGTATTAACATTAAAACTTGCTTTAATGTTCAAACTATAAATTTACGCATATCTCAAAGCAGGAATTAATTAATAAATATGTTGGCTAATCATATCCATCTATATATAACCTACTGGTTAGCTTTATGTCAAATTTGCCTGGCCATTTCCCTAATTAATTCCACATATTTTGCAACACACAATTTGTTCAAAAATAATTTATGTTTTTGTACACCCTTCCCACAACATAGTGTAATTCTTTTTAACACCTCTTTCAGCTAAGTGTACAATACAGGTGACCTAACCCTCCAGCCAAAACAATATTGAACACATACATTTTAGAAATAAAATACCTATTGGTTGAAATTGTTTTTAATTCTTACTGAAAGGCTTGAACTTTAAGATTTAACATTTGATACTTATGGTAAAAAATTGATTTTAATATTCTTGATTTTTATTTCAGGATATTTCGACAGTCAGTGTTCAAAAAGCCAGAGAAAGTTTGGATTACTTTCAGAGAATGCTTTTTCGTTTGATTGATAATGTGGAGTCACCAAACTGGCTAGTATGTTTGTTTTATAAATGGAGCTCAAAAGATTTTTAAGTGTTAGACTACTTTCATGAAAATTTGTAATTACCAGGGAAAGAAATGACGTGACGTTTGCAATCAGTATGAAGCTATGTTTTATGTAATGTTAGTTATATTTTATATTTTTGTTTCAGTCTGTAGACATTGAAATGGACAACATTGATTTGGAAGAGGAAGATGTTATAGCCGCTGAAGGATCTGAAAGACAAAAACCTGAGGAAAGCAAAGAAAAGTCAGAGTGTGGCAAAGAAAGCACTACTGAGTTACCTGAGGAGACAGATTCAGTCACAGAAGAGATGAATGATGATAATGATACAAGCATGACTGACAATAGTTAGTTATATCTGGCATAGACCTTATTTCATTTAAGAATCCATCAATTAATTAATCCATTTTTTTTAATATCTTGGATCATTTAGTATTAAATTTTTGTGTGTACCCGATAGCTGTTATATTATATTACCAGTACATCTATGTGCTAATTAAATACTTAATGACTTATGTACCATTTAAAAGGTGTTCAAAAATTAGCATCTGTTCTAAAATAAAAAGAAATTGTCAGTATTGTAAGTAAAAAGAAGTTTCTTATTTTAAAAAAATGTATTGACACATTTAAGTTTCCATAACAACTGGTATATTTCTATTACTATTATAGTTTTTCAAAATGCTTCTCTAGAAATTTATCTCCAGTTTGTAATAATTCAAAAAGTTGTTTGTAACAACTAAAGTATTGTATGGTTAATGTGTAACTACTAAAGTATTGTATGGTTAATGTCAACTAAGACATTTTTGACGTTGAACTTATTTTGATGCAAATTTTGTAAATGTTATTTACTGTAATAAAATGTTCTTGAATTGATAATACATTGCCTAATTTTTTGTTGTGAAGGTATCTTATGTAATTAAGAAAACTATTTTTTCAATTTATAGTAACAAAAAATGTTATAGTTAAACATTATACTAAAGAAAAAGGTGCACAAATTGAAACTAAGAGCTTGGTCTCAAAAAGACTAATCCCCACATTATTTACTATTCACAGTACAGTAAAGCTCAGTAGAGGTGCTCAAGGAAAAAGCTCGAAATTTCATGAGTTGAGTTTTGGTGCATGTATTTATTTGTTGCTCTTTTTCTTAGTTCCTATCAATCTGATAGATGGTTAGTGACTATTGGGGAAATGAATAGTTCAATTGTTGAAAATGTTGTACTTTATCTATGACTGGGGACAAAAATAAATGATAGTTTGATAGGGCACATAACAAAAATGTCTTACATGAATTATTTGATAGGGCACATAACAAAAATGTCTTACATGAATTATTTGATAGGGCACATAACAAAAATGTCTTACATGAATTATTTCCCTCTTAAATAGCTACATCCTTTAAATTCAAAACATTTCTGACATGGATTTTAAGAGAATTATTACCTGTCAAATACGATGGCTTATTTCAATTTATTGATTAAAAACTCATAAATTTAACCGATTTCCACAGCTGATTAACTTTTTAGTAAATTAATGGCTTTCAAACAATGATTTACTTATTAAAATTAAATGTTCTTTTACTGGAACATTTTTTGTGAATGTTCGACCATATATATATATATATAAGAATAAGCTATGCTGACGTAACGCCAAAGATCCAAAAATATTTAGATATGTTCTGATTCTTAAAAACAATCAAAAGTTATTGTCTATTATTTTACGGAAATCAAATAAATTTAAATGCACAAAAAATAACATAAAAAATCTTATTTTAGTAAAAGTTTAAGTATTATTATAACCTGCCAATACATTTAAAGTAACAACTAAGAAACTATTTTAAGCATTTTATCGGAATATAAAAGTTATGAAAAAAAGTTTAATAAAAAAATTATGATCTAAGAATTACATCTTAATCACATTTATCAGGAAAACCAAAACATCAGTTGCTTTTAGTGCGTTTTTTAGTGTGTTAATATTGCGGAATAAAATTTTAATTAATTTTTTCTTAATTGCCTATGTTAGCTAAAGCTCTTAAAGTTTCTTTGATTTAATAACCGCGCGTTACAAAACTGATAATGTATTTCCCCCTACCTAAAAGTAAAATTAATAAATATAATTGATTGCTTTTTAAATTGTTAATAAAATGCACACAAATTTTAGCTTTGTATTTTTACCATTTAATAAGTCTTTACTTTTTTTTTCATTTTTGTTAAATTTATAATGTAATAAAAACTTAACCTTTAACTTTAAATATACTTCTAATAAGAAAATACCATTTAAGTCAATCAGTGCCGCTAAACTCCATAGCCAAATAGCATTCACTAATCCAATTATAATTATAACTCATCCAAATGCAAACCATATGAAGTGCACAAAATATGTTACTTTGGGTATTGAAGGGACTACAATCCGGTGAAAGATTTTTTAATTTTATATAAATCGGGGGTTGGTCATTTTGCCCCAGGCAGCACAAGATACGTCTCAAAATAAAGGAATTTTCTTGAAAACATACATATCGGAGGTAGGAAATAAGATGTGCACATTTTTTACGTGGATGACAATATATATTTAAATCCTATGGTATTACATTTGTGAACAAAAGAGATGTCACATTCTCTTTTTACAAATAAAAACGTTTACCAAATAAAATCAATGGCATTAACAAAACGTGGGTACATTTATATAAGTATACCCATGAATAACAAAACCCAATCATTTTACACCCTTGAAGATTTAATTTCTGAAAAATGGAGATGGGTTATTTAAAAACAAAAAATATGTTTTTGTGTTTACTTGGCGAAAAGTAAAGTGGGTGTGTATTAGTATTAGATGTGAAAAACGGTTGTGAGATTCTTCTTTAGATGAAAGAATTCTTAGTTTTACGATTTTCTGATAATGTATAATTAAAAAAACAAGGCAAAAGAGTATTTAAATTTTTGATGAAGATATCACTATATCAAATTCCTTTAATATAAAATATATTTATATCATATATAGAGTTTTTTTTTGGTTGTAAATTTAAGATTGTTTTTTAACAATTTTTAGAGAGAAAAAAGTTGTAATTAAGGGCACAAAAAGGGGTAAGTATTTCTCTAAGGTAGAAAGCATCCTTCAATTCACTTCTTTAGTGACAAAAGTGATATAATTAGTGATACTTTAGGTTGTGTCATTTAAGGTCATGTTTAGAAGGGAAAAAAAGTAGTTTAGGGACGTGAAAGGGAGTAGGGTAGGCTTATATTATGTAGCAGATAAATCTTCTCAAAACTTAATGATGTTAGAAACGTAAATATCATTACATTTTTAAAGTTAGGAATTGTGATGAGTTTTTGCAATAGCAGGTAAAAATTATCGCAAAGGACCTACCATTATTATCCTGATAACATCAGGTCATTTATTCTAGTTTTAAAAATATTTTAACAAAATGCCTTGAAACTTAAAACAAATAAAGATGACAAATTGTCATGCTGTCCAACCAGGCTTGAAAGTGACTTTTAGATGCCCATGACCTTAGGCATATTCTGTCAAAGTTGCTCCTATGGATCATTAGATTTTCTGTAGCATTTGTTATTTATGACTTAATGCATAAACCCTGGTGCTGTTTGTAAGTTGGTTGAGAAATATTTGTGAAGTAAAAAAGGCATGAAATTGCTGTAAGGATCTGGAGCATGTGACAATCGAGTTTCTTCAGCTAATCCACTTTTGTGTTGAACCATCCAGCCCACTTAAGAAAAACAGCGGGCCATTGAGCTTATAATTCATTATGCACTTCCCAGTCCCAGCCCAAAAGCAAATATGGGGCCACGAAGTTGCACACCGGAAATGCTCCACTCCCGAGACAGCCCCTGCCCACTCGATGACTATCCAAGTGGGGACCACTACCACCAAGAAGCTACTGGCATGTTGGCGGTAGTGTTCAGAAATCTAACTTCCTACCACTTAGATTGTTACATTAACGTCTTAAAATCCATCCCTTCTCATCTAAATTGTTTTAAAAACACTGACTCTGATTAGTGGATTAAATTTAAAGTTTATTTACAAGTAAATGTAATTGTTTTATTCATGCAGTATTAATTAAAGTTGCACAACTTTTCTTACTGTCCAGCCTTAAACAACTAATAAAGTTTAGTCAATAGAATATATTTTACAACTTAATTTTACACAACGTTATAGCATTCTAAGATTATAAGGAACAAATAGAATTGTTAAAATTTCTTCACTGCAGTAAACAAGTTATTTCAATAAAAAATGTTAACCTACTCCTTTCAAGTGACACTGTAATGGAAATGATCCATTACTGGTAAAGCGATATCTAGGCTAATTAGGTACAATTTTCTCTTAATAACAGATGAGTCATAAGATAAAATTGTGTGCATGACATCTTTCCCAAATTTGTTAGTTTTTTATAATAATCGTGTACAAAAAGAAAAAAAAAGCTTAGTGTATAGTGTCTCTGTTTTAATGCATTTCTGTGTCATCCAAAAAGAAGTTTCAGAATTATCGTTGCTATATTTACACCAATCAAAGGAACTGGAAAAAAAGAAAAGATCAAAACATAATAGAATCATTCGTACCGTTCAGTTGAGATAAAATAATTTTAATAATTAAAAGACAATATTTGTGCACGCACAGCTGAAGGTACATATACTTGATAATTACATTTTACTTTCTACATAATGTAATCAACACCATTTAACTGCACCTTGGTTTTTAAGCATAATCCGTAAATATTAACTCAAAGACACTAGTAGAGTCTGTGAAAGGAGGTGCATGCTATACAAGTTACAACGCTTCATATTTTGCAGAATGCAGGATGTATAAAAAATAAACTTTTTTCTTTTCGTGAAGAAAAGCTATGTTGCATACTATTATAAGTGCATTTATTATGTACATTTTTAATAAAAAAACAATTCTGTACAAAATAATTTAATTTTTTAAACAAAATTTTTAAGTAAAGTAACATGTAACCTGCTAGAAGTTAAATTGCAATCACAATGGCTCATTAAATTGATGAAGCCACTTTGTTTTTAGTTTTTATTGCCTAACTTAAACCTCATATGTATCTTTCTTTAGATATTAATGTAAATACAGCCTCATAACTCACATCTCATGACTGTTCGAATAGATCTGATGAGGTTAAGGATTTGCGACTTGACACCTGGTGTTTCACCAAAGCCTCTATGTTGATCTGAACCCCATCCAACTGTAATATGATTTAAGAGGTTTTTAAGAATTGATAATTTTATTATACTATTTTAAGAACATCATATGATTATAATTAACAATTTTATAGATAACATATATATTCCTTCAATTTAAACAACCTCCCCCAGGGGCTCCAGTTGACTAGTCTGTGGTGACTTGTCGATTAGGAGGCGTCGGCCACCGACCCCCTCAGCATTACCCGGGGGACACAACTACTGGGCGTGTCCTGCGTGGGCAGACAAGGGATGTGCTTGGTACCTGCCGTACATAAAACAGCCTCTACAGGGCTGCCAGTTGTGATACTTCCCAACTGGAAAAAATAGGCAGAGACAGGGTAGGGATTATGATTACAAGTTGCTGTTAATGGATATGAGGCGAGAGGCGAGGTTGTTAGCCTCTGGCCGATGATTCTTGCTACGCATCCCTGAGAAGCTGCTCCAAGGCAACCGTTTCATCCCAGCTACATCGCGAATTAGTTGCGTTGTAGAAACCCACTGTAGAATCCCTCTACTCTTATATGGCATCTAACGCTTCCCCGGGATGGGTGGGGGAAGATATTAGGACGTAAATTTTTATTATATTATATATATTATTAATTATAATGGACTTGTTTAGCTTACTGAGACCCTACTTAACTGTAACAGTGTCACTACTTAACAGTAACACTAACTTATTTTAAACATACTTTTTGCTAAAAATCTTTCTTCATGCAAAATGCAAATAGCATTTAAGCACAAAATTGCTGATTCCAAAAGTGAATAAAGCCCAAAAGTCATGTCTAATTTTGTCAGTTTAGTATTATAATCTCCGTATAAACATATTATTACGACAAATACTACACGTTCATCATTACAGATTACACATTGATGATTGATGTTGGCACCGGAAACTCACTATGGGCGGCTACTTTATGAAGTGGTTCCATGCAATCCCCTTTTCTAAAAATAAAAGCCAACTTATAGAACTTTGTTGGATTCGGGTCAACACTTTACAATATTTAGGCCTAAATTATTTTCTTATGCAGACTTGTTCATATTTAAAATCCGCCATCCAGGACAGAGGCACACAAATTTAATTTAGAGTTTGCTATGGCTAATTGAATTAATAAGAATAAGGTAATGAAACAGACTGATACTGATAGTGTGTAATGATGGGCGGCATATTTCTCACTGAAACTTATATACAAAAGTTGTGAATATCTTAAATCAATTAAAAAAATTATTTCTAATTCCTCTTACTATAATAATATCTATGATACTTCCTACTATAAGCGGGTTTACGGGAGAACACAAGAAAAATACGCTTTAAAAAGCTACATTATTCTCTTATAATTCATTATTCCCATTTAACTGACGTTCCAAGCGAAAATAATGTACCAAATAATAATTATCTTTTTTCATAATGTGCCATAAATAATTAATTGAGTTATATTAATAATATTTATATAAATAATTAAAAATATAAAATAATAATAGCTTGAAATATTGATTTCTGTAGCACTTTCACCTTGTGCTTGGAACCGCGGCCACAAACGCATGCGTATAGCCATATTCATTTGTTTCCTGTTGTTTTCTTGTAACGATAGCTGTAAGTTGTAATAGGCTCACAATAAGTTAGCCTTTATTTTTGTCTAATTAATAAAACAAATAATTATACAAATGAATGGGACTAAGAAAGGTTTTCTAAAAAGCTTTTAATTTATTTTATCTCAATTACCATTATAACCTTAATGAGTGTCATGGCATTTAAAAAATTATAGGGCAGGATTTACTCAGCTGACTGCTGCACAGCTCCTTCTTACTTATTATTACGTTACGAGACTTGCCGCATCTGATCAAACAGTTATGATTTAAGTTAGGAAAAAGTAGGGAATATTTGTTTTTAAAAATAGTGGGAACCCTGCATAATGGTTTCATGTATTAAATTATTTAAGTTTAAAAATCGACAAAAATGTCTTGGTAAGAATTGAATATTTATGCCATGCAGATGCTGAAATGATCATGGCTGATCATAATTTCATGTAATATTATTACATATATATATATGAAATGATGGAATAAAAAACAATATCATTCCATTTATTTGGATTATTGAAAAAATCTTATCATATTCAATTAATAGAATAACCAGTAAAATAGCACTTCAACCCTGAAAAACGTGATTTTTTGAATAGCTGACCCTGAAGTGGATTAGTGGTATATTTTCATTACCCTAATTAATACTAATACTTCGGCCAATGCAGAGAATTGGTGCCATGACATCATTTGAGTGATTATTTAAGTTGCAGTGTAGGAGCCACTTCCCTTCGTTTATTTTAAGAGAATTATTTTTTTATCTTTTAGTATTCATACGCTGTAGTGTTTAGTAAAATATTGTTTTTTTCTTTGTTTTCTGATTTTATTTTCACACAAATGGCAAAATGAGATCTAAATGTATTTTTTTAAAAATAAACATATTACATATTTTAAGTTTTTTGTTGAAAAATTAATGTTTATTAATTGGAAGAAGTGGCGGCAAAGGAATATTTCAACATTGAAGTTCTGCTACTAAAGTTCATGTGAATAATAAAAGAATGGTCTAAACTGAGCAAAATCTCAAGTTGGTGGTCTGGAGTTCAATTCCAGCTAAAGCCCAGTCAAGCAATAACACCAACAGCACCCCGGGTAGATGGGACTTGTTAACCTTGGACGGCAACTCATCTAAGAGAAGGAAACTCTGAAATCAAACCCGGAGATGGAGTCCCGAAAGGCGGATAACATTGATACAATGAAACATTCCGGCAACTCCTGCGACGTCACTGGTGCCAAGCTGTATCATCCATAGATGTTCCCTTGGGTTACCCAGCGGCGTGGAGAGAGGCGATTTGCTGTTGGGAACCAGCTTATAATCCTTGAAGTATAATCCCAGGCCAGTGGATTTCGTCATCCGAAGCCCACTCCATCGTCACATTGTGACGGACGGATGCCAACAAAAAAAAATTAAAATAAAAGTTAAATTTTATGTTAATAATTACTTGCCATTTTGTTTTTAAGTGTCATTCTAAAATGAAAATTTTAAATTTAAGAACTTTGGGACTTTGGAAATATTAATGAAAAATATAGAAATTATTTTTTATATTGGGTACCGGTACTATAAAATTATGCGGATATAGACAAAAGAGTGACTGTGCTTATCTTGATTGCTTCTCTGGGTGCCCACACATCGCCGTAAGTTCGAAATTAATTTTTTTGCATCGTAAATTTGTTTTTTTTCAAGATAAATTTTGGGTAATTTTATGCAGATGGAGGCTGAATTTATCACCCATTTTTGGATTCGTCTGGAATGTGAGGGCAAAAGGAGTGTGATAGATTGGGTTATGAGTACTGGTCTTATTGCAGACCGGTACAAATGTCCTAATTGCAAGGAAGGTATGAAATTGTGTGCATGGGCAAAGGTTTCAGATGGGTTTGCATGGAGATGTCTCGACAGCCATGATACTATTATGCATAGTATAAGGAAGGGATCATGGTGACAGTAATTTGACGATAAGTGACGTCCTTTTATTGACACATTTTTGGATTTAAAAAATGCCTTTGGGAAATATTCCAACCGAAGAAGGTATTGGTCGGCATACTGTAACTGATTGGGTCAGCTTCTGTCACGAGGTCTGCGTGGAAGCATGTGTTTTGACGAGTGAGAGCTTAAGTGGAGTGGGTAAATTTGCAGAGATTGAAGAGTCCAAATGTGGCAAACGGAAGTATAATAGAGGGAAAATGGGTGTCTGGTGGGATTGAAAGAGGATCCACAAATCCTTTTTCAGGGTTGATGAGAACCGCGGCAGAGATGTCCTCCTGGCAATAATTAAGGAATTTGTGCAGCCAGGGACCACAATCATTTCTGATTGTTGGAGGTCTTACTACTGTTTAGAGGACGAAGGATTTCACCACCTGAGCGTGAACCATACAACTGAGTTCAAATACTCTGAAATGGGTGCGCACACCAACAACATAGAGTGAAGTTGGAGTGCGATAAAACGATCTCTGCCCACGAGAATCTGTCCTGGGGAGGAGCAGTTTGACTCATATTTATATGAATATATGCGGCAACGCTCGTGTAGCAGTAAAGTTCTAATGAGAGAATTTTTAAATGCAATAAAAATTGTATATCCTCCCCATTTAAGAGATTCTGATTCATAAAGAGAGAGTACAAAAATTATTATAATTTGAAAATTGCATTCTTTGTTTTTATGTAGCTTTTTTGTGTTAATCCTATGATAGATTGAGGGTTCAGGTTAGGTTTAGGGATACATTTAGGGTTCAGGTTAGGTTTAGGAATATTCATTTAGGAAAATTCATTTTTAAAGGGCAGTGAACATATTTTAGTCTGTTTACATCACTTTGGTAATTAACAGTACTGGTAACCATTTTGAAAAATTATAAAACAAAAACTTTTGAATCGCAAAATCTGCATTTTAGAAGGCCTAATATAATCAGTTTCAGAAAGCGACACAAATTAAGATATAGCCATTTTCACTTTTTGTATGCCATTACTCGATCTCCATTAACATTTTAATCATCATAACTATAACCCATTTATTAAATTTACTTAAAAGAAATTAATACCGGTATTTGAAACTGATGTTACAATAAATTTGTGTATTCTTTAAAACTAATTAGTGACAAATCTTGTTAAAATAAAAAGGCCAAACTGTTTTGTTTTAACATCTGTAAAGCTATTGAGTTTTTAAGAAAAAGAGACCATAAATTTAAGAAGTGTTATGTAACTATACCAAATAAAAGATATATTTGAGTTAGAGGTATATTATTGCATAGAAAAAAAAGGCTATAGTTAAAAGTGAACTGTAAATTGTTAAGGCATGGATAGATTGTATAGAGAGTAGGATATTAATTTGAAAAGGGCCATTTGAAGGGAGTTATGTGTTATTTAATCATCTTAGTTGTTTCAGAGTTCCTCTTTTGAGTTAAATTAATCCACAGTTATATTCATTCATTTGTTCCATCGTATAAACCTACATAGATGTTTAATTTAAACCATCCTAAAAGGTCAACTTTTTTTTGTGATGAAGAGAAACAACTTATTTACATGGACATGGATGAATCAAAAACACAAGCACAGAAATTGGATGAATTTATAAAAAACACTAATGTGGAGAGATCTGAAGCAATTAGTATATTAACTAGTAAGTTTTTTCTTTTGTCATATTAACCCCAAGATCATTATTACTACAAAATTCAGAATAATTAAATTGTAATTTTTAATATAAGGTTTCTATTTAAGCTATCCATCCCTCCCTGTGGCGCTACAGCCCATGTAGGGCTTTGGCCTACTTCACCACATCCTTCCACTCAGACCTTTCATCCCTCCCTGTGGCGCTACAGCCCATGTAGGGCTTTGGCCTGCCTCACCACATCCTTCCACTCAGTCCTTTCATCCCTCCCTGTGGAGCTACAGCCCATGTAGGGCTTTGGCCTGCCTCACCACATCCTTCCACTCAGACCTAACTGATGCTTTTCTTTTCCATGCTTGGATTCCCCGCTGCTGTAGATCTTTTTTTCACATCATTCATCCGTCTAAGTCTACCTTTGAGCCGTTTTCCTCTGGGGTTTGGTGGTGTGCCCTCTTCACTCCCCTGTCATTTTTTCTAAGAGTTCCGCCTGGCATAGCCTGCCTTTTTTTATTTCTGCTACTAGCATGGGGATCCTAATATATACTACAATTCCTGGTTGGTTCGTTTTTTACATCCATATTCATCCTTTGTTGGTTCATATATTTTCAAGGGAACTTTTCTCTCCCATGCGTTAAGCTATAGGAGTAATAAAATTATTGACCATAACTATGAAATTGCTGTGGTATTTTATATCTCTGATTAAACTTTTTCTTCAATGATAATGTACAGGAAATAAATGGAACCTAGGAGCCAGTTATAAAGAAATTGAACAGATACGCAACTCAGCAGGACAGAGAAATCATCAGTCCATTCAAAATGACCACAATCGTCTGAAAGACTCACCTAAACACAAAGCTATTGAACAAGGTGTAGGAGCTGCTGTTCACTTGGAAAAGAAAGGGTTAGGAAATCTACCAGAAATGTCATCTGGTTTCAATACTTTTAAATTACCACAAACAAATATTCCATTGTCTCAGAGAAAAAATGGTGACTTTTCCGATCAGACCAAAGGTTTATCAGTTAGGATGCCTACAAATAGTACAATAAATCGACAGGAAAGAATTATTCCTATCCAGATAGTTGGAGGCCGAACATTACCTCCTCCCCAAAGTCTCGCAGACTCATATTCACAGACACCATTGAAGAGTTCAGTTGATGCAAATCTATATTCACAAAGTATGCCAAACTCATATGTAAGCACTACGTTGGCCAATTCATATCAACCTGTTGTTTTCAATGACAACGCTGTGTATCCAGCCCAAACCTCGGTAATAAGACCATCATCTGGGACAGACATACCAACAGAGTCTCACCAAGAAGATGATGATGTTTTTGATGACAAACTCTCCAAGAAGCCTCCGCCCAGCAACACTTGTAAGTCAACTTTTACCAGATGTTTTGTATGTTTTCTTATGAATATCATAAATTTGCTTGTAATAAATTAGATATTTTTGGTTCTAAAATTGCATTTTTTTTTAAAATTTTGAATCTCTATTATATTTTTTAAAAATTTGAGTACTCAAATTCCGGAAGATGACAGTTACAATAACAGTAAATATTGATTTTAGATCCTAGACTCAAGCGAGGTTTCTCCAACATTTTGGAAAATGAGAGCTTAGTTTCTGAGGCAAGACACAGTGTTCAAACAGACATTTTAAAAGATAACCATGACAATATGTATGTACAGACATTTGTCCTACCTAATTTGGCTGCTTTCAGTGAAGATTTTAAAGCATTTCTTGGGAAGGAGTTGATAGAGACATCAACTTTGGTGTCTTTAGAGCAAGCTGGTAAGTTTTTTTGGCGTGTGTGTTTCTTTTTTTGTCTCTTTTTTTGTTGCAATTGATGCAATAAAAAAAGGCGCAGTGTTTAGGAGATCTTTGTCACTTATTGTATTTTGTCTTTTTTGAAAATCAAAGTTTTAAAAAAAATCTACATTATCTTAACAAATGTTAATGTACTATTTTATACTACATGAACTTTCTTTATAATCTTGTAAAATGTTATTAGAAATAAATTATAACTGTCATATTTTGCATATTAATTTTATGCTTCTCTTTCAAAATAATATTTTTTCTCCTTTAAAATAAACATTGCTTCTTTACACATGAAAACAATTAATTTTTTTCCCACATGTTAAAAAAAATACAATTCCAAAGTGATGTTACTGATATATATATTTCTTTCCTCAAAGGGCGTTTAAACTGGTGGGCAGAGTTAAGGCTGTGCCAGAGACTTCTTCCAATGGCTACCTCTGGTGATGGAAATTGCTTGCTGCATGCAGCGTCTTTGGGTAAGGAAGTAATGTATTTTGGAATCCTTAGCAAAGATTAAAAATAGTGTGTATAAGTCAGTGTCTTAAAAATTCTGTAGCTTTTTTATAGCAAAACTAAATTTTTATTTTTTAGCCATGTGGGGTATCCATGATCGGCAGTTGATATTAAGAACAGAACTTCATGATACTCTAACCAATGCATCCTATCGAGAAGCTCTGTACAGGAGGTGGCGTTATCAACAAACAATGAGTAACAAACAAGTAAAGTGTTACATTATTTATTTGTATCACTGTATATTTGAAGGAGTAATAATTTAGAAAAAAAAATTGTTCGTTTATTGGAATAAATCTGAAAACCATATTATCACATCATAGTTACTCTGGCTTTCATGTGCATAAGTATCCTTGGTACTATTTTTTTTTATTAATATAATGTTTTTTTCCTTCAATCAGTCAGGTCTTGTGTTTAGTGAGCCAGAGTGGAAAGAGGAATGGGAAAACATTCTCCGCTTGGCATCTCCATTACCAAGGGGAGCACCTGATCCTGCAAGATTCAACAACTGCTGTGATAGTGCTGTGACCCATGGGTAAGTCCAACTATCATTGTTAAAGAGAAAACTTGGTTGAATACAAATTTAAAAACTTTGATCTTCTGTATATTGATGATGACACTCAATTATTAGCTAACTGATCATAAAAATATTGTTATTTTAAAAGAATCATTACTTAAATATAAAAGCTCTTTGTGGTGTGATGTACAGATTTAATTCAAAAAAGCCTTTTTAGTTTTTCAAATCTTTGTTATCATTAATGATAAAAGAGGGAGATAAAATCTACCCATAATGACATCACCAACAATCTTGATTAATTTTTCTCAATTAAATTCCTTAAAAGTCCAAAAGAATGGGTTGAATTATTTATTAAAGATAATGATGCATTCTTTTTGACCAGCTCAAACTTTTTCTTGCTTGACAAAAAATTATTTTCTCTAAAACTATCGTAAAATTTTATTTTTATTTGAAGGAGATGTGATGAGCCAGTTGTTTACGAAAGTCTTGAGGAGTTCCATGTGTTTGTTTTAGCTCATGTATTACAGCGTCCAATCATCGTAGTGGCCGATGCCATCTTAAAAGATTCTAATGGTGAGGCCTTGGCTCCTATACCATTTCCTGGAATCTACTTGCCTTTAGAAGTCACCAAGTACTTTAGGTCACCTTTACTTTTGACTTATGATGCAGCTCATTTTTCTGCCTTGTCTCCAATGGAGCAAGATCCAAATATATTGCCTCACCTTCCAGGTAATTGTTTTGTTTTAGAAACATTTAAAAAAGAATTGTTATTTAAACTTATCCTCTTGTTGTACCAGGTATTTATAGTGTTAACTAACACATTGATGTTAATAAATTTGTAATTAAATATTTGAAATTCTTATTTTTTTAAATTTTATTTTTTTAAAATTATTGTATTTCTTGCATTCATTTATAAGTCTACATATATCTGTAAATCTGTCCTCAGCTGTTCAGAACCTAAAGTTAACTTTTAAAAAAAATTATTTTTTACAAATTTGCTGATGCTGTTATCACTTGAATTCCTAGAAAAATGCTAAATGCAAGCTCGATATACCGCATACTTAATTTGCGTCAGAATTTTACTAAAAAGTTATCATTCAAAAGCTGGACCTTTTTTAAGCATTTAAAAGCACACTTATAAATTTAGGATCTGGAAACTTGATTGAGAGTTCATAAAATATTTGCTTACAATATTTTGATATTGTATGGTTATATTTTAGCAAGTAAGAAAGTAACACCTGTCAAGGTTTCCCCTGTTTTGCATGGCCTTGATGAATACCACCACCTTATAACCAAACATATCTGATGAATAGAGACCGACCGAAAGTGATTTTCTGATGCCGAAAGTTTAAAATGACTTTCGGCCGAAACCGAAGATGAAATATTAAGATATTTTGAAATTCGTTCCCGCATACCCCTCTGCATACATCGAAAATGATGTGGGAAAGTATAAAATTTAATATTTACATTCTTTTTGTAAAAAAATTAGATAATCGTGAATATTAATAAATAAACATCAAATACAGGGGTCTCAAACTCGCGGCCGCGAGCCATTTGTGACCCGCAAGACGATATTTTGCAGCCCGCTACATGACAGAAAAGTTTAGTGTAAATGCGCCGGCGCGTTTCCCCCATTCTCATATCTATAACGTGACTCTGCGGCGGTTGCAGTCGAATCTCACCGACTAGTCTAATTCTGATTTTTTTGTTTGTTTAATGTTTCTATTTCTATATATTTTTGTATGCCAGGTCTCTGGCAACAGTGAGTAGTTCTTGAGAACCCTTAATGATTTTATTGTTATTTATAAAGGTTGAGCAGATTGTAACAGTTGCAATCGCTTTTTTGTGGATTACTTGATGTGGCCCACTCTCATTCAGACACTACCTCCTGTGCCCCCCTCCCCCCATGATTTGAGTTTGAGACCCTTGAGCTAATGAATACTTTGGATTTTACCATTTTAATATAAAATTAATTTAAATTGCTTTACAATTTTAAAAAAAATTAATATGGTAGGAGAAAATTTGGCAAAAATTGGGGGGGGGGGGAATTTAATGAAAAAATTTTTTTTTTTTAAACAGGGTCTTTAAAAATTTTAAAAAAAATTAAAAGGGTAGGAAAAAATTTGGAAAAAATGGGGGGGGGGGGGGAAATTAATGCAAAATATTATTTTTTTTAAACAGGGTCTCTAAAAAATGTCGTTCTAAGAGATCGCTTAATTTGTTTTTAAAGATCGTTTAGTTGGTTGTTATTGATCGGTTAGTTTGTTCTTAAAGATCGTGAGTTTGTTCATAAAGATCGCTTAGTTTGTTGTTAAATATCGTTTAGTTTGTTGTTAAAGATCGCTTAATTGGTTCTTAAAGATTGTTTAGATTGTTGTTAAAGATCGTTTAGTTTGTTGTTAATTCGGTCGGTCTCTACTGATGAAAGGTTGTTATTTTTAATAACAGTTATTCAATTATTGTAGGAGGAAAATAAAAACCATTTGCAAAGCTGAAGCTAAACTTTTAAAATAATAATAAATCAGCTTTCCTAACCATTTCTTGGTAGAAATGAGAGTAGGTTGTTTTAGCAATGAGATCATTTGATTGGCTTCTTAGTCAATTTTCTAAAAAAAACTATTTGTTTGCTTGTTTCAGCTGCCATTCCTTTAGTTGACCCTGAACTGAAGCTCTTACCACTCCACTTTTATGTTGACCCAGGGTCAAGGGTAGACTGGAGCAAAGATTTCATGTTAGAACCCAGCCTTGAAGATAAAATAAATCTGCTACAGAAATTTCTAGATGTGGATAGGATTCCTTTCAAGTTTGATATTAATTATGAAAATGACCAAGGTTCTGGTGGAGCTCAGGAATATTATGAAGAAAGCGGATCTTTATTGAAAGATAAAGACAAAAAGAAAAAAGATGTACGCATGGCTAACCAAGTACAAACTGTTGCCAGGCAGTTTGGCAGCATAGGGAAGAGCATGGGGAAAAAGTTAAAACAGTTGGGTAAAGTTGGAAAAGGAGATAAGTCACGTCAAACAGCTGTTGGGAATGAGATAACCCAGAGCACACGTGTCATTCCGAATTATGATAACCAGCGAAGCGTACATGATGTTATTTTGGTTGCAAAGTTGTCAGAGAAGCGAGGAAAGCAGCAGCAAGAAATGGTTAAAAACTACTTGCAGGATGCTGAAGAGAGGTTTAAATCCGATCGAGATATAAAAAGAAGAAGCGATGCGGAACTGAGAATGAAAGTTCCTCTCTATCCAGATGTCATGAATCAAACAAGTGGTATTCCCTGTAGCACACCTCACTGTAGTAACATTGCAGCACCTCAAACAAACTACTTGTGCACTAGATGCTTTAATGCCCATCGCCTAGAAATAGACATGGGGCACAGGCGAAGTGGACAAAATGTGTATAACACTTTCCCTGGAAGAGGAAAGCAGCCTCCACCTTCATTTGATGAAACCATCACCTGTGGCAAGTCCACATTTTATACTCCCAGTATTGAAGATGTGCCACAAGGGACAGCTTCCCTTGGTGTTAACAACCTGAATAAACAAATCTCTTATTCCAGCACAAATGTTCACATTCCTAGAGCTAGATCGCCTTCACCGGACTATGACAATGTTCCTGTCTCAAACCGCAACAGTCGAGGCCATCAGCAGGCTACCACTAAAACACACTCAACAACTGTTGTGGAAGATAGGCAGCAGTGCAGGGCAACTGATTGTAAATTTTATGGAAGTCGTGAATTTGATGGTCTCTGCTCACAGTGCTATAAGATGAAAAATGAAGGTTATTCAAAGTTCACACACAGTTCAACCAGGTTGTAAAAATTGTTGAAATTTTAAGTATTTTTTCACTTTTAGCCAGTACAAGTACCAGTAACTTAGTAGCTACTTTTATTTTGGAGAAACAGTTTTTGTCTGCAGTTAGTGACAATGCTTTCATAAATGGTTTGTGATTATTAATGTGAATCATTTTGTAGCCCTTGGGGGGAAAAGTGCCTAATCTGATGATGCCATCGGGTTTATAAAAAGTACCTTTATCTTTTTTTTGCTTCCCCATTAATTTTTGTCTCCAGCAAATGTTTAAGTTGTATAAATAACAGATATTTGGCAAAAATAATATAATTATTGACTTCTATTTATAAAAAAAACATGTAAATCTAAATAATTAGTTTATAGAGCACAAGTATCTGACAAGTTTTTTTTATAAATGAAAATAATGAAAATCTAATGCAGCATCCACTTCCATTCTCTTGACATATTTGGCCAGGCACTTTATCATCAAACTGTCTGAAAGCTTGGTTATTATATTTAGGTTTAAATTTGTCAATTGAAATGGCAAATGTAACTGGCCCAGGGAGGGAGACAAATAAATTTGAATATTTTTATTCACCCTTTTGGTAACACAGCTTATTTTACTTTATCTCTTACTAACATCTTGACAGCCCCTTCTCATTGAAACAATAAGTAAGGCCTTGACTGTTTTAACTCTCCATGAGGGAACTTATTTTGTTGTGTCTAATATTTATCAAAAGTTTAAAGTCTTTTAATGAGATTTAAAAAAAATTGATGTACCTGTAAATAACTATACCTGCAATGGTCTTGTTTATGTTGAATTTGAATTATTTTAATTCAAAAGACATGTTAAACTAGAAATAAGATTTTTAATTTAACAAAAAAACAACAACATATTTTCATGATTGTGCTCGATGCCTATGCTATCATTCAGGTTGCTTGATAAATCATTGTTGTAGATTGAAGGTAGCCAAAGGAAATTATGCTTTTACTGCTCCTGTATAGATCTATATATAATTTCTTGGATCTTTTCAATCATGCAAAATATATACCTATGTATAATTATTGAATGTTACATTATATATAAAATCTTAGTTAAATATAAACCTTGTACATGCTGTTGTATTACAGTGAAGTGTACATATCCACATTATTTATTTTTAACTGCAACGATCTCTTTGACATTTTTTAATTAACTTACAAATATTTATATTGTGGTTATGTCAGACGTTTCATTTGATCATCAATAGATTCTTTCTATTATTGGATACAAAGGTAAAACTCTAATTGAACATTTAGAATGAGCCAAGATATTTTCTTTAATTGACGTTTAATAATATTATCATCAAATGAGTTAGACAAATCACCACTAGCCTTTAATTTCTTTTTTATCCAGCCACGTTGACTTTATTATTTATGTAACTTTTATTTAATGGATAGTTTAGTTTCTGTCAAAATGCAGTCTTCCGCAGGGTGGATTTGAACCAGATTTTTGAGACATTGTTGAAATTGTTTGATTTTAATTGTAAATATTTGAACAGTTAACTGTGATGTATTTGGCTGTACCTTAAATTCTATTTCTGGATTCATACACCACATTTTTCATACAATCGTTATTCTTTGGTTTTTTTAATTTTTTTTTTATTACCGGTACTATTTAAAGAGTATTTTTAGATCAGTATCAGCATTACATTGTAAATTGCAGGCAAGTTAAACTCAGTGCTGTAGAATAAGTTCAATGATGTTGAGTTGTTTATGTCCCATCACTACATTTAATATAAAAAAGATGATCAGAATGATTTTAAAGAAAAAGAAACTTTTTAGAAGTTCAGTTTTATACTCTCCACATTATGTAGACATATCTTGACTGTGAAAAGCAGCTTTCTCCTTTCAATATACCAGTACTGTATATTACAGATTGTCACTATGAATAAAGCATGAAGACTTCACCTGTGTAATTTTAAGATAAAATTATAGGATTTGAATAAAATGCTCAACCTCAGAAGATTGCGTGCTAATCCATGTAAAGGCCAGTTCTTTTAATTGCTAATACTGTTCTCAATTTGTTTGAGTTAGTATCCAGTAAACTTTTTGCTGATTTTTACTACAGGCTACTGTGTCATATTATAGTTGCCATTAAAAAAAACCCACACATAATCAAGCTTAAATTATATTTGCTTGTATCTTTATTAAAATAATGAATGATTAAGAGGTCATCCAAATACAAGGTAACATGAATCTAAAAGTAAAAGTTAGGGAGAGAGTTGTTAAAAATTGCCTAAATAATGGATTGCCAAAATTAATTACTAGAATTTTAACCAGACATAGTGATTGTTATAACTAATGACTGGGGTCTTTGAGGTAATTGTAAGAGATAGATTGGTTTATCATATTAGGGGTTAACCTTCACAATTTCTTGTCATGTTTTTCAAGACAAAAGTATATAAATGGCAGGATAATCCAGATTCTAAATAGATTGGAAATCTTTTAAGTACTTGAGGCCATAGGTACTAGAGGGGAGGGGAATATGAAACCAGATAACTAAGAGAACTGAAAGAGGTAGTGGCAATTTTACAATTATCTAAATTAAAACTGTAGCTGGACAGGAGTTGGTTAATGAACAGAGGTGCCAGTAATGATCTTTGAAATGATGAAGATATCTCATCTAAGTATACTAAGTCATAGACTGTCAGCTCTGGATACAGGATGCAACAATGATCTGGTCTGTTAATAAAATGGTGAAGTACCGGTACCTGGTTTTGTGCAGAGTTTGCAAGCTTACATACCAACTTCAAGTTTACAATCAATGTACCGGGTACAGGTGGAAAATAATGACCTGTGAAATGGAAATGAGTAAAAAGAGGAAAGAGTGTGATAATTCTTTGTAAGACATTTATCATTGCAAAATCATTGGTTATCCAACAACTACAACTTGCCCCTAAACATAACCCTGACTATAGCTGTCATCACATGCTCCTAAACTTTAACTAAAATTAGAACGGTTAATAACTGCCTAAAAACATATTTTGTTGCTGTGACTCTCACTGTAATGATTTCTATTTCTTGAAGAGCAAAGTCACTGAAATCATAGTCATAGCCATGCAAACTTATTAATTGATACTCGAGATTGTATAAAATAAGCAACTATTTCCAGCATTATGGTCGATGACATCAGGACCACTGCACTTTTGAAGAGGATTGGTGTGTGGCTTTTTTAAGTACCAAAACCCAAAATAGAAATTTTGAAGTTGAATCTGCAATAATTATATTGCCTGAAGCTCAAATATACTTAGTGGTTTAAGGCTACATACAGTAATATTCCTCATTCGGTACATGGCACTTACATTCTGTTATGCCTCAGATTATAACTTATTCTGCAACTCGTGATGATTTTCTGGTAATCATTAATGAACATCATATTGACTTGAGTTTTAAATTGATTTGAGTAATTTTAAATGTGTATCTTTAAAGTTTTCAAGTTTCTTGTAACTTGTCAACTAAAGACGGTAAAGGATTTTCAAAAAATTAATTAATATTGATACATATATTATAATAAAATTACTATGAAATTAACAAATAAGGTTACCATGCTGATTTTTCAATAAAATGGAGTGACCAAACCAGTTAATTATACCTTACTTATTATTGTTCGTCCTTCACATGAACAAGGCCTTGACTTTAACTGTATTTTGCTTAAAGTTAAAGTGAGGGGAGAGTTGCAAGGGAAAGCATCATTTAGGTCTGAGTGGAAGTGGTGAGGCAGGCCAAAGCCCTACACGGTCTGTAGTGCCACAGGGATGGATAGAGTTGCCCTTTTCGTCAGCCTCACTCTCTCTCGTCTTTGCCTATTTGTTCCAATGGCAAAACTTAGTCAAGACAACTGGAAATAGGTCAGAATGCAGTTGATGAACTGCAGTGTTTCTTGGGTCTCACTGTGCTCTTGTGCGTTCCACATCCAATGAGTTGTCTTATATTTATAAGCTATAGATTACTAAGGCCTATATCCAATCACTAAATGTTATTCCTTTGAGAAGTGTTTCAGAATTTTTTTTAAATTGAAATTTTTGAAAGTATTGTTTATATTTTTATATTAATTTATGACAGATTATAGCAAATACACTGTGACTATAAGAAGATTAACAGTTTATATATCTGGAGCGTTAAAATTTTAAAAAAATTGCTGTAACTTAGGATTTCTAGTATTAATTTTGAAAAATATTTTGTGCAGTTAGTTATACTATAGGTGCTTAACAATTTTTTTGGTCAAAACACTACTGGAACTGTTATATCAATTAAAGAGTAGTGATTAAAAAAGTGTCATTTTTTCTATCAACAAACATGAAATATTTGTTCTCTCTAGATATTGCACAATCTTTTATTTTATTGCATCTGTACTATTATTATAAGCAAATTTTCATATTATCTGTGACTGTTATACAGACTTTACCTTGCCCTATATCTATAGCTATAAGTTATAAGGCTTTAATTTATAATATTATCTGAATGATTTCCTTCCCTAAGCACCAAATCAAAAAGCCTAAGGACATGATGGATGCACACAAAAGTGTTCCATCTGCATTATTTAAATATTTTGGCCTTTTTTGATTCACTTGGAATTAAGCAAACCTAGAAGAATCCATATGGTACCTTATATTTGTCAACAGTTTTTTGAGGGTGTTCACTATCCAAAAATTGGAATCTTCACTGCTCTATTAAGAGAAATAACTGTTTAAAAAAAACTTTATAATTTAAGGTACGTAAAATAATTTGGACTTCATTCAAAGTTTAAAGTAAACATAATTGTCTCTTGTACTTTACTAAATTTTATTTTGTATTTGGGTACATGAAAATATTTGCTTTTTAAACTCGTGCTTTATAAACTTGTGCAATAATTATCCAATGTTTTTTCCAATAAAGTGCTTTTCCATGCTTCTCTTTTAATGACTTGAATATCTACAAGAATACCAGTCAAATAATAATGTTTGTATGCCCAACTTTGAATTTTTGTAACTCTTTTTAGGCTTTTGATCTTGAATTTTAGATAAGTTAATCTAATACTAATACCATGTTTGAAATATAAGTAGGATAATTTCTCTCTTTTTATGTTTGGATCCTTTGTACAGTACCATAATAAATATTTGGCTCCTTCTGCAAAAAAGATTCAAGGAGTCATTGATGAAGTAACTTTTAAATGTTTATCACAAACTATTGTAGCCAAGAGGTCAACTGACATTTGTCCTAAAAATTTCTAAATTGGTATCCTGAATGAATGTTCAAAGGTTCAGCCTTGATGCAAGTTGCATACAACAATTACACAATTTTGTAGTAAATTTCACCAGGTTTGCAAAATAGGATATCACAAAAAATTGTTATAGCTGATAAATTCTGATCTTTTTATTAAAAAATAATTTTGAAAACCATCAACCCCCAAAATTATTAAGAAAAGATAAAGCTACTGGTAACAACTGTTTTAAAAAGTGAGTAAATAACAACGATAAAGTCCAAATATACTTTAGTTGACAAATATTATTTGACAATGTAAATTTTACACAGGAAGAATGAACTGAAAATTGAAAAAGACAGTTTTCATTCATAAATATTTTTAAAGTTAAAGAAAATAGATAAAAAGACAAAAAAAAATCAAATTTTTAGAAATAATCAAAGGTAGTCGATAACATCTTAATTGAACAATGCTAATATTTCAATGAGACATCCAGAAGGCACAACTTGAAAATTTTGAATCTATAAATAGATATGATTTAGAAGAATTAATGAAATGCAGTGCTGTTGTTCAACTGTACAAAACTGACAGAAAAATACATTGCGGTGACATATGAACAATTAATTAAGACCATATAGAATTGGTCTAATTAAATGACTTGGGAATACCAATTCAAAGCTGAATTGTTATAAAAATAATATATTGTATAAAGCAATCTTGATATATTTGATTTTGATGCACCTAGAACTCTCCATTCCAGAACCACCCCTCCCAAAAAAGGACAACACGGTTTTGGTAGACTTGTTTACAATGAGGTATACAAAACAAAACCCCCAGAAAGCTGCATATTCAAATTATATGTATCAGAGCAGCCATTTTCAACCTTTTAAATCTTTCAACAGAAAATTAATAAAATTCAGGGATACGATACAAAAAATTGAAAAAAAAACACATCTGTTCCAGTATGGTGCAATGACTGATCAACCAAATTGTTATGTACAAGCAAGTTATGAATTATATCATAGGTTCATTACTATTTAAATAAACTGCCTTTTAAAAAACGTATTATCAACATCAAATCCTGAGACCCACCTGTAATACTTGGTGACGCACTAGATGGAAACTACTTTATTAGATTAAAGACATAGGGTATAACTTACGAAATAAATAAATCTTTGATTTTTTTTTCCACTACACTAACAGTTTGCTTCAAAAATGAATATGATGAAGCTACTGCAATATATATATGCTAAATATCCCCACTAAACATTGGCAACAGCAATGTGTGAACTTCCCATCTACTAAAGTTACTTGACAAAACAAGAACTCAATAAACTCACGTTTAAGAATTCCAATTTTCACTACATCTCTTCCCCATGATACGCCACTGCACACTTTTTATTTCATGCCCATGAACTATATTAAATATTCTGATGTCCCAACCACTTTTAAACAGATTATTTTTTTTACACCCTACTTAAATTGAGACGATTTTTAATTTTCCGAAAAGAAAATATGCTCCAAACGCAGTTGCATAATAAAAAAAACCAAACATTCAGCGTAGTTATCAGGAATTATATTTTGCGTGCCATTAAACTCATTATTGAACCATACTTTCTTTCAAATATTTAGAATTATTTGTAATATACTCTCAATACCGAATTAGCTGATTAGGAAGCAGTCTACCAGAAGCTTAATATATATGATATATATATATATATATATATAGTATTTTTTATATAGTCTAGATTTATTCTTTGTATATCCAGTTATTTAGATAAATTCAAATTAAATAAAGAGTGAAATAAATATACAATTTTAAACCATAATTGCAATTGTAATAAAACATCATTTTGAAGAAACCTTATTGATCAAGGAATCACACAAATCTGTCAATTCTTTGTTTTCCTTCCTCTGAAATTAAAAAAAAATGTATACATTAATTTATTTCTTTATTTCAAGCAGAACATTTCAACATTTATTTTAAACACAATAAAACAGGTATTCCTTGTGAAACCCAGATACTGCCATATAATAATGAAGAAAAAGAAGCAGATGTTTCTCTGATATTGGCTTGTCAACATGTGGGTTCAACTAAAATAATGTTGCAAATAGTTGTACAGATTTTCAGAAGATTTTTGTTTATGCTGCCGATCATATAATAACGTCTAACAAGTTGGAAATGCTGATTACAAATTACACATACTTAAGCTCTGACCAGATCACTAACTTTAACTTTTTTATTTTTTTTTACTTAAACCAATGAAACAAATTATTAAAATATAAAAAATATTTTTTTTTTCAATAAAAAAAAAACGTTAAAAAATAAATAACCCACCCACAAAATCTATGGTACTTTAAGTACCTTTTCTCTATAGTCGGACTGCAGAGAGTTAATAAATACCAATCTACAAAAAAAAATATGTACTTTCAGGAACTGGTAGTGGCATGTTTTCTTTAACCCACGAACTGTGGTCGGCCAAAAAAATCGGCCGACATTCTCGTTCTGTACTGTGGCGGCCAATAAAAAACACAGTCTGAAAGCAACTTCCAATCCAATATTTAACCGTAATTAAAGCCACTTCCTTTTATTATTAGTTAAATCATCTTCTGGTTCAAGCTGTTTCATGGTAACGGGAAAATAAATACATTTTAATCGGAGTTTTATATTGCTGTTTTTTAAAGCTAAAATGTATGATGCTATGGCTTGGTCTCCAGTGCAAGAACTAATAGAAATATGTTTGAAAGCTTTTTAGGAGAGGTTTTAAGTGATACTGATGTTGATTTAACATTCCTTATGACGATATCAGTTGAGATTATTCTTTTCGTGAATTTTTTACTAGTTATAGTGATACTGAAGTAGGCCTACTGAGGCTACTGTTAGACTTCAAAGCCAGGCCCGGAGGTTGGGCAAGGACTGACTGAATTTTAGTCACAGAATCTACAGATTATAGTTCAGAATAATACATTTTATAGTTAAACTAACCAAATCAGTTCCACATTCCTTTTTAAATGTTTACTAGTCAATAATAACTATTTTGGCTGAGATTTTGTATTTTATACTTGGTTTTAGCACTACAGACCTGTTTACCCTCAAACCCCTAAAATCGTACAATCTGGTCTCAAAATCGTACAATACAATATCTCTATAGTAAATAAATAAAACTACAAAATATTTCCATATATTTTGTAAATGTCGCTGACTGGATCTTATAAAATACCGGTATGCCAAAATCCAACGCTCCACTGCAGAACAGTTGGATCATCTATTTTATTTTAAAAACCATCTCTATTTTTACAATCGCCGCGGTTCTGAGGAACAAAATAATTATGTAACAAAACTACGTCACACGCTTGGTAGCAGTCAAAGGCGATGGCGGGTGAAGTTGTCGCTAGGGCCACCAATCCAAATATTACTGTTGACGCAGCAGCCAGCTAGTTCACTGTGATCCCGTCAATACGATACGTCGGGGTTATTTATTTATATCCTTTGACACTCCCATCAATCCCCTACCCATGCGTGTCTCGTATGCCACAATTTCCGTCATCAACAACCCCACCTCCCCCAGTCCCCATGAGTGCTTTCGAAATATAATAAGGATGGTCCCAACTTTAAAAAAAAAAAAAATCCAACCAATCGTTTTTCTCGTTCATATTCACTGCCAGATCTTCATTAGAGAAGGCTAAAACGTCCAAACCCGAAAATTTATTAATGTTTTTAAATCGGGGGAAAATTTTTTCCACCGGGTCTCTGAAAATCGTAGTTTTGGGGGGTCTTGGCGTACAATCGTAAAAGACATCTAAAAATCGTACATTGTACGCCAAAATCGTAAGAGTAAACAGGTCTGGCACTAGTTTCTTATATAAATGACCTAAAATTACTAAAATTGCTTTCAGATGTTTAGTTGCAATCAAAATCTTAGCAAAGTATACATTTTCTGAAAGATAAATAAATTGGCTACATTTAGATTTGCGTTTTAAGTGTATCTATAAAAATTAATGATGTTATGAGCACTTGAAAGCAAGACATTTTGTTGATTTTTTTCCCTTGAGAATTCCAAGGTCAAGGACACTGAGCAACATTTTTTTACAGGGTGGGCAATATGGCCAACTTTATCCCCATCCATTTACCTTTCTAAAAATAATAATTTATTGGGGTATTGTATCAAGATTTCTATGTCATTTAATGCAATTTCAAATGTCACCCAAAATGCTCTGAAAAGCTCCACACCACAGAATAATGCATGCCACAGTTCGTGGGTTAAAAATCTAAATATGACCATAAAAAATGTTGTATGCCTAGGCTTGACATTGTAATGAACCACAAGATCATCATAAAGATATTTAAATTTTGACAAAGTTTTTGGTAAACACATAGACATAGGCGTCAAGGCATATTGGAATTTTAAGTATTTTTCTTGAATATAAATACATTTTCAAAGAAAATGAGAGAGAAACTTAAAAACTACCTACAGCAGTATTCAAACCTACCTTTTGTTCCAGAGTATTTTCAAGTCCTTGCACCTGCATATCTTTCATTTTCAGAGAGGCTTCAAGTCTGGTTAACTCTGATTTAGTAGAGCTGGACAGTTTTTCATATTTTTCATCTTGCCTACAAATATATTAATGAGTTAGAAAACTTGCTGCTTTACAAATTTTTATGTTGAAGATATTCAAAATTTTGCTCTGTTGCCTTATACATACCCGTATTAGACTTAAAATATGTTGGTTTTGATTCACAAAATGTTTAAATTACTGTAGATCGACACTTAATAGAAGCGCCAAAGGGGTTAACTAATTTTTTTTCCAAGAAGTTCACTTGATAGGTTTGCAAGTGGTCTGCTTTGTGTAAAGCTAATTAATGTACACAAAAAAAAAAAAAAGAATCTAGTAATATCAACAATTAATTTTAGTAATTGCCAATTAAAATACCAAGATTTTATATGATTAAAATTTACACTACTATTGATTAATAAAAACATAAACATTTTTCCAGATAATTTTCAGTAGTTTGAATAGATACTAGAAGTATGTGTAGTAATTAATAAATTCTAGACTTTCAAAATAGAAGACATAAACTTTCATGGGATCCTCTAATTCTGTTTCCCAACCTTTTCTATACTCCACACCCCCTACAAATGACTATTCTCGCACCCCTACAAGGTAACAATGCATTTTAAAATAATGTAATGCTAATTGATTAATTGAATTGCAAAGAGAACTGTACAATTTAGAAAAATAACCTCGTGACTTTTTACATAAAGGAAAATGTAAATAAAGAAATATAAAAAAATTAATATATATATACATTTATTTCATAAGTTAAAAGCTCCTCTGTTCTTACAATCCCTTTCCTTGAACTCACTGAAATGCTGCCACACACTCTGGGGGTGGGGAAACCCTGTATAATTAATATTTAGTTCTCCCCACTTTTTCCTTAAATAAAAGGAAATAATAAACATGCCCTTAACATTGTGCTTCTTTTATAAAGTCCTTACTAAAATTCATATTCTGCTACATTTTTACATGAGCATTGATTTGAGGATATTTCAAAATAAATAAGATATTGAATAGTTTTTATGTGAGGGTGAAAAGATGCTGAAACAAAAATTATGCTCACTCTGCTATTTTGGCCTCGGCAACTTCTTTGATCTTTCTGGCAGTTTCTTTGATAGATTTATACTTCTCTTGAGCACTTTGAACAGCTTGCTTGAGAACCTTCTCATTCTGATTACACAGGTATTAAATTTGAAAACTTCATTTGCATTTCAAAAATAGCAAAAAACTATCACATATTACAATTTTTTTAACACTCACATTTTCATTACTTCAATTATTATAAAGCGATATTATTTATAGCCCCTTCATTTACAGTGTTTTAATTATAAAATAAAGATTACACCTTAATACTGGTGTAGCTAATGAAGAAGAGACAAATTACTGCCATTTTAATTGTTCCAACTGTTTTGTGGCAAAATTTCAAAAAAAATAACTGGCTGAAGAAGCTATAGATGTCAGTTAGGAGCCATCAGAGGTTTATCTGAAAAACTTAGTGTCCATTTGAAAAATTAAGTCTTACCTCAGCAGCTTTCTCCAGCGTCTGCTTTAATTTTTCATAGCGATGGAAAAGATCATCAAAAGATTTTTCTAATGTCTTGTTGTCTTCAATTACCTGTGTGTTGTATTGATTGTTAATAATACTGAACTGTCTTAACAGTGTAAGAGGAGAACAATTAAGATTGATTAATTTTTTAAAAATTCAAAAAGAGTTCTTTTTAATTCAATGTATTTTAAGTATAGATATTGATGTATTATGTATTGATATTTATGCCTGCAAGAATTGGAGAAGTAAGAGGTCTTCTTTAAATTAAAAAAAAAAAGGGGTGCCTTGCTTATAATTAATTGTAAATGTAATAATGTAAATGTTTACTGTTTAGTCTTTTACTCAAAGTAATGAGAATTTTAATATCTATTTCTAAATATTTGATTACTACCTGGCTATTATACTTTTGTAGCTCTGATAAATCAACTGTCACCTTCTCAACCTCAAGCTGAGCTTTCTCTTTCTCCACTGCAGAATAAATTTAATAATTAAAGCTGTTAAAGACTATGCTAATTTAAATATATATAATGACATTAATAATGAAAGCTATCAATTGCCATAATATAAAGGATAACGAATGAAGGACGGCATTTAAGCTAAGTGAAGGAAATAGTGGAGCAAGGTTTGTGGAAGCTTGATATATATGCAAACATCACAATAAAAGAAGAACCACCAGAAAATTATATTTTGAATTTAAATTTGTCCTTGACCCCTCCCAACCACTGTCTCATGAGTCTATAAAAAGGAGATTGAAATATTACTTCATTACCTAACTGATACAAAAAAACATCACTCATGGAATCAAAAAGTTTACTTACATAAAGCACAACATAGTGGATTAAAAGCTTATCATTTAAGAAAGTCATTTACCTGTCAGCTGGGATATTATTTCTGTGTATCCCTTCATCACATCACTGTAAATACAAGCATTTAAAAATAAAATATTAAGAAATGGAGACATATTCTGTGTTTTTTTTGTTTACCTAATGGGATCATAGCTAAAACCAAATTAATTGTCTCATAACTTGGAGAGGACTATTTAGGCTACTTGTGAAAAATGACAGAAAAAAACACCTGGTCTTATAAAACCAAATAATAGGTTCAAAGCAGAGCAAGGTTTAAAAAAAAATAAATAAAACATATCTATACTCATACTTAAGACTTTTCAGTTTTCCATGTAGAGATTTAATCTTCTGATTGAGACCATTAGTTTCAGTTTTAAACTTCTCCTTCTCAAGCTCTGCCAACTGTCCCTGTTCTTTTAACTTTTCCTGGAATTCACGATCCTTTTTCAGCATCAATTCTTGAAAATGCATTGTAAGGTCTGCACGAATCTGTTTCAAATCACTTTCTGTGTAAACAGGCATCTGTTACAGGCAAAAAACATGGATTCTTTCAGAAAAAATATGATGAACGATACAAAAATTCAACTAAATAACAGCCAAGAGATTCACAGTAAAAATATAGGGATTTATTGAAGCAATCAAAATATGAAAATATCCCAATGATACAAAAATACAATGCAAAACTCTTGTTAGAAATATCTCTGTGAAATAATTTTTAACATGCATAAATGATAATGAACAAAACATATTGAGTAACTGTATGTGGGTGTAGTGTTTGTAGTGGAGATGGAAGTAGTGGCTCTGATAATTGAAAACCTTGTGTTCAGATAAGCGACATTCTGCTGCAGTATTGTGTGGAAATGAGTTGCTTTAATATTTCAAACATGTTAAAACCTAAGCCATAACTATTCTATTGATTATAAATTGTTTGAAGAAAATAATAAAACATTTATTGAGAATAATGTCTCATATATAATTTGAATACAAAAATGCTAAGATTTGAAACACTGCAGATTTATTAAGAGGCAAATATGAAGTCATTTCAGAATGACTGAAACAGATTGTAACAAGGTCATTAGAATCATGAGTCAATATTGAGACAAGCAGTGTCTAATATTGGTCTTAGTCCTTAAACTAATTATTAATTAGAGAAAGTTAGCTCTGTTAAAAATTAACTGAATGGGTGAGTATCTTGTCTCAAATTAAGAGTGAAGACCATTGGTTGAAAGTTGTGTGGGAGCAATTAAATTGGGGTGAACTGAACACATTAGTTATGAAGTCACTAGTGCTGTGGAAATATATGTGGACAAGAGAAGATACTTTTAGTGAAATCAGTTCACTAGGAAAACACTCGGGGTCCCTATAGAGATGAGCCTAGAGTAGAACATAACATTTTGAGCTAGAGTTGGATATGGTGTAAGTAAAACTGATTGGATGGATTCTGTTAACTTGGCCTTGAGTTACTTCCTTCATACTGAGTCTGTCGTAAAACAGAAATATGCCTATATGGGGGATTGTATATAGTTCAGTTCATCTCAATACTAAACTAAATCATAAGGAATGTATGGAATATGCATTATTAAAAAAAAACAGAATAACAAACCCTACCTCTCCAATGTCAACAAGCCTTGGACCCTCATTCATTGGATGTAAGTTATCATTTATTATCTGTAAGAAAAGTTAAGAAAATGATAATTACCGGCACAATTATTTTCTAAATCCAAGCTAAGACTTAAGGCATGAAAACTGAAAAAACGTGGGCTAAGTAAAATAAAGTTAGAAATACATTTTTTTTAATGTAAGTTCCACGGCTAACTTCAACTTTTGTAATATTACTCAGAATTACTGTGTGCATTTAATCATGATTTATTAATAAAGATAATTTTTTAAAATATTTTAAATTATGGTTAAAAAATAAACTGTCCAACAAGGTAACAAAAAGATTTTGTTGGAAAAGGCAGATCAGATTTTATTTGCTCAAAATCTGTGTTCCTTTACGGCTTGTATAAAAGTTTATCATCAAATCATAAATGATCTAAAAACAACAATTTTAAAATTACTAAACAGCCTTAAAAGATACAGGTTAAAAAAATAATAATACATTAATATATGCACAGTAAAATTGAATACTCACTGTATCCATGCCATCACCCTCATTGTCTAATCCAAATATCATATCCACTTCATTGGAGGAATTCTCCTCTTCAATCGATTGTGCCCTGTAATTGTGAACACGACGAGTCAGTGTGCGTCTCCGTGCGACACGTGGTGGAGTACCAAACAAACAGACACTTTCATCAATAAAGCTTCTGTGAAAACAAATGGTAAAAATTTATGAGCTATTGACATAGACAATGACATTCTTTAATTAATAAATTACATTTCAATCTCATTTTTTAAAGCAAGGAGATATTTTAAGGATTTTTAAAAATAAAAAATTCTAAGTTATTATGTAAAATGGTAACAAGGGGGGAATCTCCTTTTGCCTTCACTCTGCCATTTTAATCTTTCTGAAAGAGTCGAAGGCACTCTCTAAGCTATGTACCTGGAAAGATTTTATCATGAAACCAGCTGACAAAGGTGGAGCCGTCGTTGTGACAAAAATCTACGTGTTGAAGAGGCACAAAGGGAATTAGAAGACACTCAGTTTTACAGACTCTATTACGGGTACTAAAAACAAAGACATGGTAAAAAAAACTTTTCCGCATTCCTTAAATCTCCCTCTGCTTTTCACAAGCCCTGTTTCTATCTACTTCTCAAATACACAAGAAAAATAATGATGTAGACCCATCGTCTCAGCATGCTCTTCTCCCACCGAACATATCTTGGAATTCCTTGATGGAGTTTTTCAACGCCTGGTAGCATCACTGCCCACTTATATCAAAGACACCAACCATGCTTTGAAAACTTTTGAATCTATCATCATCCATCCTGAGAAGAAACATCTATTTCTGCTTGATGTATGTTCTCTATATGCGTCTATCCCTCATACTGATGGTTTCTTAGATTCACAAGTTCTTTCTCAAAAGTAAACAAAGTCCATCTATACTTACTATCACCCTCCTTGGATTGGCTGAACTTGTTCTCACCCTCATTTGAGTTTAACAGCCAATTCTTCAACAAAATCAGTGGTGTTGCAATGGGGACTAAAATGGGACGATTGTTTATTCATGGGACATTTCGAACAAATGCTGGAGAGAAATTACACTGGACACCTCCCTGAACGTCATAAAAGGTACATTGATGATGGTATTGGGGTCACCACTATGGAGATAAGTGCATTGTACCTTTCCTTCAACTTTGTAGGCTTTTTTCACCCCTCCATTAAATTCACACCTTTCATCTCTGAGATCTCAGTTAACTTTTTGGACACCTTTCACAAAGACAGTCAACTCACCTCCACCTCCAACTCACCAACTTTAAACCTACTGACAGCCACAACTATTTACTCTACTCTTCTTCCCACCCTAAATCCTGTAAGAATTCTATTCCCTTTTCTCAACTACGTCATCTTCATCAACTCAGAGTCTGACTTTTGGGACAACGCACTTGAGATGATTGACTATGTAGGTCCTACTCGGAGACAGTACTTGCATCAGACTGGTTAAAAATGGAACTTGTGCTCATTCCTTTAGGTCTTGTAACAATGGCGACAGGACCAAGCTTATTCCACAATCTCAAAAACCGTGCCATTCTCCTCACCGAGCCATACACCCACAACATTCCACCCCCACCCCCCGTTTTCAAAAGTGTTTAAAATCTGCAAGATCTCTTTGTGCGCAGTTTAGTCAGTGCTGCCCCCTCCCACTTTGAGATCATACCATGTGGACGCAGCCATTGCAAAACTTGTCCTTTTGTCATCCAGACTCAACACATTCCCTTCCCTAAAGGAAGTTCTCAGATAAGGTATTTTGTATTAGCAGCAATGTTGTTAAGCCATTGTTTATACCCGATGCCAGAGGGCGTATCATGTAAGAATGGACAGCACCTCTCTGATAGATATACTGAAAACAGTAATATTGCACAAGATAAGCAGTGTCCATCCCAAAACACTTCAATTGAAGCGACCACAAGGGATTTTGCTATCACCACCATTGTGTCTTGTACAAACAAGCAAAACTAAGTGATCTTGGGAAAACAAACTGATTCAGACTTTTGGGTCCTTGACACCACAGGACATAAATATGTTCTCATTCATGTTTCTCCACCCCCCCCCCCCAACCACTCTGTGTCGACTGATCGCAGTGGACTTACTTTTCCTTTCTTCTGCCATTTATGGGAAAACAAACTGATTCAGACTTTTGGGTCCTTGACCCCACAGGACATAAATTTGTTCTCATTCATGTTTCTCCCCCCCCCCCCCCAACCACTCTGTGTCGACTGATCGCAGTGGACTTACTTTTCCTTTCTTCTGCCATTTTGCATGTATTAGCTTTCTCACCTACTTATGTTCTATCTCATTCCTCTTGCTGTCTCGAATACAACTTTGCAGCTAAGTGTTTATTTTATTCAAAATTTTATATTGTTTTTATGGTTGTTTTTTCGCTAAAGAAAGCTTATTGCCGACACGTTTTTTCAAGTCCTTTTTTTCTCTGGTTTTACGATACTTTGTTCTTCCTTCTAAGCTATTATGCTTGTGTCAAGTATCAAAATGCTAAAATACATGAGATATACTTACTGTATCATTAATTTTTCATAGACTATAGACTTAATACTTTACTTACATGCCCAATTTAGAATCCTTGAATACATCAGACATTCGTCCAGGTTTTTGAGCTTGCCCTTGAATAATTGTATCTATAAAAAAAAAAAAAAAAACTTCAAAATTAAGGAATTAAAAAAAAATTAAAAAAATTTTTCATTAACTTAAGACTTAATACTTTACTTACCTGCCCAATTTAGAATCCTTGAATACATCAGACATTCGTCCAGGTTTTTGAGCTTGCCCTTGAATAATTGTATCTATAAAAAAAAAAAAAAAAAAACTTCAAAATTATGGCATTAAAAAAAATTTAAGATACCACACCTGTTTACCCTGGAACTCCAAAAATAGTACAATAGCATCTCAGAGTAGTACTTTACCATTTTAAACTCGTACAGTATGGTTACATAAAAGTAAATAAATAAAAATACTATATAACGTATACAATAACTATTCGCATTGAATGTCTAATAAAGATTACTTCCCAAAGAAGTGACTTACATTATATATATAGTGCTTTATTGCACATAAAAAGGAAATCTGTCATTTCCACTTTGATAGACTAAGATGGGGTGGGGGGGGGGGAGAAAAAAATCAAGGACACCAGCCAAAGTCACCTGAGAAAAAGTGGTGATGGGGCTGAGCCCCCTTCCCAGAAATTATTTTATAAATTCAAAATGCAGGGATGCACTTTTGTGCATATCTGAACTTGAACTTAGTTTTGCATTATTCTACATTTAATCAGAATGCTTGTGGAAAATTAGGTTCTCATTTTTAGCAGTAACTAAATAGTAAAATTGTTTTTTAATGTACCCGGTATTACTCATTTCAGTTTATTTTTTAAAAGTCCGTCAAAAATAGGGTTCCATACACAGAAATTGTGCATGTGTATATACATAAATATATATATTTATCAATTATGCGTTTATTCCAAGAATGAAAATAAATGGATTTATGATTACATCCATCTGGCCACGATATTTAACATGACAGGCAGTGGGTTAGCCAAGCTGTATTAAGCCTAGGAGCCTGATTTTATTTTCTGTTAACATATTATAATCTAATAACTACTGCAAGCTGTATTAGTAGCAGGGAAGAGGAGAGCTGGAACAAAACACAGGTTTTAAAATTTGTACAGCGGCTTAGTTACTTCAAAAAATAGATTTCAAAAGCCACTTACTAATTACTAGATCTTATAAATATGTCAAAATCTTACACTGCTGTGTGGAGCAGTTAAGAATACTTATGTTTTTTAAAATCTGTAATTTTATACATTATCCATGGCTCAGCCGAAGACTATGAGTTGCGACAGCAGGAAAGTGTCACATAATAATTGACTTGGTAAGTTTATGGGTGTTAAATCTACCGACGAAAGAAATGTCTTGCCATTCATAAAATTTTCAAGTAAGAGCAAATAAATGCTGCTTATATTGTGGTGAGACATCTCCCACTGATACTTATGTTAACAGCTCTGCTGTGTTACTGCTTTAAAGAACAAATTAATAATGTGAATGAGCTAATCTCAATTATGTTTACAAAGACATCAAGGAGGTGGATGTAAATGCCTTGATTGGGGACAGAAGGAATTTTTATTTTTGAATTTAATGTTACATGAGAACTAGGATTGGACAATAGTTCATTAAATTAAGTAGATATTACATAGGATTTACTGAGGCAAGATTGACTTTCATTTCTAGGAATTGTATTAATTGCCCCTTATGAATTTTGACGTCAACTGTTTTATGTTATGCATTGTAGTAAAATGATGTACGAATGGTTTGTTGGAACGAATGTGGTGAGCCTTAGGCTTACACCACCGTTGAATAAATACCATTAATTTTTCAGGGATGCTAAATATCTTTGGGGGACAGGTCCTTTTTTTTTTTCTCCAAGGGTCTCAAATTAAATATCTTTAAGTGAATCTTTGTTAATGGGTTTTGATTTAACTCTGTGAGATCTGGAATGTAGGTGGGGAGATATAAGTATGGGTATTCATTATTCATTAGTAATTGCTGTACTCAGAATATGGTGTTTTATTGTGCACTGTGTGTTGTGTGTGTTAGTTTTGTTAATGAATGCTTATGGTGCCATTAAGGCTTGTGACATGTGGCAACATATTTTTATCGTAGCTGTGACGTAGTGTTGATGGTCTGTCTTTGGTTATGTGCATTTTGTTTTGCAGTTGGTGTGGAACTATATTTTTCTACTTAAAGTTAGCTGCGCTAAACATGTGTTTGATTCATTGGACAGCCTCATATCAATGTTTCTGGATTTAAGTTTACATTGCTATTGGAAAAAAAGACTTGTGTTTAGGTTGGTGTGATTAGGACGTTATAAACATATAAAATCATTTGATGAAAGTAACCAATCAATCACAGATCGAGACAGACATCTCCCTTTCCCTCTCCTGTATGTTCAACCTTGCGCTGCTATGTCAAGTCCACTACCCGCTTTCCCTCTTTGTACCGGGTACCTACGTAACATAATTATGCATGTCTCCTATCAATTGAATTTCTCTGTCAATTCACCCACATTTGTATTTTCATAGAAATTTAATAGTATAATCAAATTGATATGGTATCACTAGCTTTGGTATTGTTTTAATCTATACTGGTTGTCATTCTATGAGCCAAAACTTAAAATAGATTAAATTTTCAAAACCCTATAACTGTACATAACATCGTAATGGACATCAAAATCATAAGAGTGAACAAGTCTGTCTGAGAAACTAATCAACACTACATATCAAATCTCCAAAACATTCTCCACCCACCCTTAAAAAAGTATTAAAGCATTACACAATTTTCATCTGCACTGATACACAAGTTTCCGCATAATGTCAAATAATTTTTTTTATAAAACAGAGAATGACCCACCTGGACTTGTGTTTAATGACTTGGAAGCAAGAGAATCTCTGCGGTCTTGCAAAGGATCGAACTTAAGAAGAACTGATCCTCTTTTTGAGTTAGGTGCCTGAAAGAATATGTTCCATGTTGTAGCTTGCTTGTAATTATATCAAGTTTTCAGCACAGACCAAACTTCATAAAACATACAAGTGTAAAAAAAAAAAATCTTATCTTACCTTACCACTGGATGTGTGCTCCAGCATGTCAAAGAATGCAGGATCATTAAAGGCTAAACGAAACAGAATATATAGTATTCATTAATGGGTAATATCAAAAACTTTTAAAACTGTAACTTTAAGAAAGGGGAGTGGGGGGGGGGATGGTTTGGATGCTGAAGGAGGTGGAGGGGATTGAAAGTTTTAACAAATATTTTAATTTTACTATCTGATGTTACCATCAAAGTTGAAATTTAATTGTTTAATTTTTTTTTTACAACTTTACTGTTTACATTAAGATAATTTAACACAGAGATTTAGCTAAAATTAAATGACTCAGTTGAACTGACCTTCTGTTGCTGGAATAAACAACTCATTTTCAGCAATATCTGGTTCCTGGGGTGAAAATGGAATTGATTCATCTTTAGCTTTAGTGACATCATCATTTCTGCTTGTTTTTATCTTTGGGGTATTTGGAATTGATTCATGTGCTGCTGAATGTTTTGGGAAAGATTCTTTATCATGGTTTACAATAAATGGTTTGTCAGTAACTGCTGTTACCATGTCCTCTTGAGCATGGGCTTTATCACTTTCATCCTTTAAAGGCTCCACATTCGAGACTTTTTGCTCTGTATCCTTATCTTCAGGAGACATGGCAATTTCTTGAATGGTTAAATTGAAACTTGATGCATTGGAACTCTCAATACTAAAATAATTTTCTTGATCATAGGAGCTTTTTGAATTATTGCTATTGCAAGATGTCAGATTATTAGCGCTTGGAGTATTTATCAACTGAGTTTTGAGATTTAATGGGTTGATGGAAATATTAGTATCAGATGTTATCTGGGGAGATTTGGTTTGGAGAGTTGGTGCCAGAATGCTTGCTTTTGTAGAAATCTGATCACCTGAATTTTTGCTCATATTTGGATCTTCAATAACTATTTCATTCTTATCTTCCAACATTTTGCCAATATCAGGTTGAATGGCTCCGCAATTTTTAACTTTTTGACTGCTTAATGAAGAAGGATCTTTTGATTTCATTAGTCCCTTGGCAATGATCTGTTCATCTCGGGCTTGACAGTTGCTAGTTGGCGTAGAAGAAGTGACAGTTTCTTCCTGAATTTTCTGTGTAGCACATGGGTACATGACATGATTAACTTCAAGTTTATTAGAAGCAGAGGAACTCATCTCTGTTATCAGCTGACTTTCAACAGCCTGATTTTCCAGTGGGTCATGTATCTGGGTTATATTTTTGACAGGAGTATTGGTGTCTTGAATACTGAACTTCTGAATTTCATCAACAAGTGAACCTTCTAAGGTATTTTGAACCCTGTCACTGTTTTCATTTAAGTGTGATTTCTGTTCACTACCTGATGAACTCAGTAATTGTGAACTTGAGCTACACAGGGTGATTCTCACTTCCTTACACTCAGTATCAAATTTTCCTCCAGCTGAGCTAAGTTGTGCTTCAGTTTTGAGTTGGTCAACATTAAGATCATCTATAGAAACTTCTGTGTTTTCAGTAGGAGATGAGTTGAGATGCTGCCCTTTAGACCTTATTGACTTAACATTAAGATCAGGGTTATTTACAGGTGTGTTGTATTGGGCTTCTGGTGCTGAAACATCTTGTTTGGATTCTGCACTCTCAAGTTTTCCTATGGAGGATGGTGAATTAAAAAGTTGCGCCTTGGGTATAAATGGGTCCTCTGTGAGATCAAGTTCATCTGAAGTCTTCTCTACCTGTAGGACAGCTGTTGAGTCAATATGCTGCGTTTGAGTTTTGAGAGGCGTCATCTTAAGATCTTTCTCACTTATGGAAACCTCAAGTTGTTTAGTGACATGTAAGATTACAAGATTAGCTTCATTTGCTTTTCCTGATTGATTAAGTTCCTTTTCATCACCAACAAGCGGTTCAGAGGCAGGTGCATTGATGAGCTGTTCCAATGTAGGTGCATTGATGAGCTTTTCATTTTGTTGCACTAAAGGTTGTAAAGAGTCAGCCTTTAGGCCTTGTATTCCGTCAGCACTATTAAGTTCTCTGCTAGAAGGTGAGTTACAAAGCTGTGCTTTTGGTTGAAATGGATCCTCTTCAACTGTAATACAATCTAGTTTTTTAGTAACTGGTGAGTTGGCAAGTGGAATTTTAGTTTCCAGTGGGTTAACAGTAAAATCCTTTTCACACACAGCACCATCAAGTTTACCAGCAATAGGTGAATTGACAACCTGTGTTTTAGTAACAAATGGGCTTACAGTAAGATCATTGTCACACATAGCACCATCAAGTTTTCTAGTAATAGGTGAATTGACAACCTGTGTTTTAGTTTCAAATGGGTTTACAGTAAGATCCTTTTCACACGAAGCACCATCAAGTTTACCAGCAATAGGTGAATTGACTACCTGTGTTTTAGTTTCAAATGGGTTTACAGTAAGATCCTTTTCACACACAGCACCATCAAGTTTACCAGCAATAGGTGAATTGACAACCTGTGTTTTAGTTTCAAATGGGTTTACAGTAAGATCCTTTTCACACAAAGCACCATTAAGTTTACCAGCAATAGGTGAATTGACAACCTGTGTTTTAGTTTCAAATGGGTTTACAGTAAGATCCTTTTCACACAAAGCACCATCAAGTTTACCAGCAATAGGTGAATTGACAACCTGTGTTTTAGTTTCAAATGGGTTTACAGTAAGATCCTTTTCACACACAGCACCATCAAGTTTACCAGCAATAGGTGAATTGACAACCTGTGTTTTAGTAACAAATGGGTTTAAAGTAAGATCATTGTCACACATAGCAGCATCAAGTTTTCTAGTAATAGGTGAATTGACAACCTGTGTTTTAGTTTCAAATGGGTTTACAGTAAGATCCTTTTCACACACAGCACCATCAAGTTTACCAGCAATAGGTGAATTGACAAGCTGAGCTTTGGGTTTAAATGGTTCTGCATTAAGATTTAGTTCATCTGTACTAGTATCCAATTTTCCAGCGGCAGATGAGTTGAGTAGCTTGCTTTTCTGTTGATGCAGCTCTTCAACATCATCCAATTTTTCTTCAGGTTTAAATGAGCCTGCCTTGTCATACTGTTCTCCAGACTCATTTTGAAGATCAATAGCATCGCTAACAGAGCTCACCAAACCTGTAGCTTGATTATCATGTCGGGATTGTCTTGGAATCTGACTGCAAGAATGTAATGGATCCGATGGATTACCTTGTTTCACTATTACCTGGTCCTTAGACTCAGGTTGCTTTTCTAACTGTTCTCTTTCCACATCTTTTGCTACCTTAAGATCACTGTCTATGTTCTTTGCAGTTAAAGAAGCGCAGCTTAAATGTGATTTTGAGTGGCGGTCAACAGCAGGATTTCTCAAACTCAAATTCTCCTTTGACTCGTCATCAATGGCATCAACCTTTTTCATCAGAGCAGAGTCCTTAAGTGTCGAGACAGACTTTGATCCAGGTTTTTTAGGTACTGGATTTTCAGCATGGGGGTTAGTTGAAAATGAAGCAGACAAGGCCAAATCCGACAAAAGGTTTGCTAATTCGTCAATTTCTACAAAACTGTTTGAAACTGAAATTTGAGAGTCTTGATTGTGCTGTGGGATAGTGTCATCTTTTCCAACTGGTTCCTCATTGATCCTAAAATGTTACATAATTTTTGCCATTAAAATCCGAACAATGTAAATATTAAAATATTTTTAACATGCAAAGTAAAAACCTGTTTTCTTGTACATTACAAAAAGGTATTTATTTTATGTAAATTCACATTGAACAAAAACAGAGTAGGAAAGCACAATGGTGCACTAGGTTTGTGGTTGTTAAGAAATCATTGGTGGAAGCAAACCTATTTGTATCCAGAGTTGGCAAATATCATTGTCAAATTATAAGAACAGGTATATAGCAGAAAATGTCACCCTGGTTAAAATCCCAAATTTAGATTTTCTTAATTTCAGCTTAAAACAAAAAAAGTACTAACTACACTGAATAAATGTGTTGCTTTAAGATTTTAATATGATAGGAATGCCAGAGCCTTTTGAGCAGAGTAGACATATAGCAGACCTGTTTACTCTAATGATTTTGGAGTACAATGTATGATTTTGAAGTGTATACATTTTATACTGGTATTCTGTATGTTTATTTTTTTACTATTATAATTAAGATAATGTATTGAACGATTTTTGTGATGATATTGTACGAATTTAAGAGTTTGTGAGTAAACAGGTCTGATATAGTATGAGCTGGGTACCTACCCAGACACACAGAAATACAGAGTATTAGCACACTCGGCACACACCCAGAAAAAAACAAAAAAACTGAACTAAGTCCGGATCGTAACAAAAAAATCAAAACAAACTATCTTCTCATTTTCTTTAAGTGTTCCACCGATGTAAAAAAAAAATATGAAAGTGCATGTATAGAACCTGTAAATCTTTAGACGTAATTTAGACATGGACAACAGATTTATAAAATAAAAACTATATCGTAGATGTTGACAGCTTATTTTATATACAACTTTTGTAAGTTTCTTTTCATTTTTACAAAAAATTACTTTATATTTATAGGATTTTATTTTTTAAAAAATGCTTTTTGGTCCACACACCCACATCAAGCTATAATTCTGGTTGTAGGTTGCCACAACTTGGCAAATGTTATGAGGTGGCGGCATTAAAAAGGTTGAGAAACACTAGGTTAGGATTGCATTAAACTTAAACCTGAACGATTAGTGTTTAGAATCCTTCAATGTTGATGCTGTCTTGATCACTACTGGTTCTATACATGCACGTTTCACTTCTCCCCATCGGGTGGAACACATTTTAAAATATGAGAAGATAACTTTTTTTTTTTTAAAAGTAAAAGATGGACCCGCCGGACATTGTCTCAAAATACTCGAACAGGATAAGGTGTAAAAAAACTGCACCCAGCTCAGCCAAAGTAGAAATTTTATTGTACTAAGCAGTAAAATATCAATTAGCTACTTGCCAGCTGTTGGAAACATTTGAGATAGGCAAGGAATTCACAATCTCTTCTAAAATACTACTAGCATGATGAAGATTTAGAGCATGGTCTTGTTTGGTAAGAACACTAGTACGTTCAATCCATCTCTCTGCAGAGTCTAGTTGTCTTATATAAGTATATGGCGAATTTGATGGAGTAACTTTTGTTGGTGATGTAGTTTTCATCTGTTGACAAATGGGAAAGACATTTAATTGTATGGGCCCTGTAAGCAACTTATTTAGACTTAAATTTTTAAAAATGATCGACAAACTAATGTTTTAACTGCCTTGCAATGATACTACATATTTAAGAATAATATCATAGGATACTATATACTGTTCATTGAAGACTTTTCTCACAAAAATGCACTTTTAAAAAAAGAAACCAATCCGAACAAACCCTTTGGGATGAAAGTCTACGCTCATCATTGACAGGTTTTAATGGTTGTCCAGGTGTTGTCCTCCTGAGGTCACCATCCCCATTTAAAACTTTTGCTTGTAAAACAGGTGTATTTTCATCTTTTACTTCCATGTTGAATATGGACAGCACAAGCACTATAAAAATCACAACGTACCTGCATTTAATAAATGGAATAATGTTAACAGCCAGCATTAGAATTTTTTTTTTTTTTTTTTTGGTAATACGGTACACACTTGTTCAACCATCAAATTTAATTTCAAAGAAGGCAGCCCATATCCTGTGTAGGACAATGAATATCTGAATTGAATAGGTGTTAAGTCTGTGGCACAGTATTTTAATTCAAACATTAAGCATAACATTAAAATCTGAATAAATTATAAAGTTATCATTATCATAGTAAACAGGCTAACAAATAATATTTTACAAGTATTACAACTTAAATTGCTTGACTTATTCAGTTTTCTCTAAATTAATAATGTTGTTTCAATATCTAGTATGTTACAGCTTTTTGCAAAGTACCGGTAATGTGTTGCACCAATATGGTCTTGTACATCTGACATCAGCAACCTATTTTTTGGCTGGTTAACATACACAATCTGCCTAACTTAGTAATGTAAGCATTGGTGTAGGATGGACATTGGAGTTGATGGGATTTTAAACCAGGTCCGAACAGACACTGTCAGTATACTTGTCTTTGGTGTGACTGTTTTACCAAGTTGAGCCTTACAATTTTACTTTTGAATGTATCAAAAAATATTTTTTATTTCTCTGGGTGTCAATATCAGTGAATGTCATTCAGTAAATGTGTAGACCATACAAAATTATGAGAATGTCTACATGTCCGGCGACAGGACAAACAGTGGGGGAGATATTCTTCGGGCGGGCATTTTGCGTGACAACTAGTATGTGTTATTATTCCGGCAGACATATCATGTGACAAGAGGTCGCTGGCAAGTTCGACTGCATATAATATTCTAATATTGTGTATATATATAAGTCAGCCGTTTCCTAGATAATAAATAAATACTGAATATGGTAATATTTTCAGATGCTCTAAGATACATAAAGTGTGTCATAAGCTTTTGACTTTGAATTAAAACTAATATAATAATAGTAGGCATATATAACTATATAGTGGTCTATTTGAATCCAACTCTTAAAAAAAAAAAAGTCTGTTATCTTGGTTTAATTCAGAGGCGTAGCTAAAGTTTTTGGCGCCCGGAGACAAGATTCATTTTAAAGCACCCTCCCCACCTTTCTTTTTCAACCCTGAAACCCATTATTTTCATTAAAAATATAACATCAAAGCACACTTTGGCATCCCTAACTAGTCTGGCACCATATGTCATCTGTTTTATCATTCCTCACTTCTAAAATGCCCATTACAATGATAATAATAAGGGCCATATTTACTTTAATTATAAGTTAATGTCATATTTATTAACAGCCAGGGATGCAGGCCGACTTTGGTCGATTGTGAAACAAATGAATTTATATAACTTTCTGGACCTTCTCTATTACTATTTATTAGACATGTAGGATGGGTCCAGTCATCTCAAGAGGGTTAATATGCTCAGGGCTTGTCTCGTCCTACCCACCACCGGCCTATATTTATTAAGCCTTTTTAATTTAAAAAAATTTGTATCTAAGGCTTTTAAAAAGCATCCATCGATCATTGACTATCATTTTTTATTTATTCATTAGGTATTAGGTAGGCATATTAATTATTAATCAAGGCATTCAAGGACAAGTATCATTAAATTTTTAATAAAACCTAAGTGTAAGGTTGCAAGACGTCCGGCAAAAGGAGGACATCTTTTTAGCTCAATATTCTCCGTCCGGCAGGCAAAGCTAAAATCCTTTAAAATGCCCGGCTTTTCTTACATTTTATATTATAATTTTTATGCATCGTTATAACTATTACATTGTATATTTACGTTGTTACAGTTACAATGTACAAAGTCTATGCATTTCTTGGAACCAGTCGATTTTAGTCATTCTAACAAATCTAGCTCTGTGTTGTAGTGTATTATCTATGGTCAAAATGTTAATGTTATTTCTGGTTCTGGCAATAAAGACGCACATTTAAATTATTTTTTTTAATTTGTAAATTTTGCAGCTATCAAAAATATGTTTCCTTGCTTCGTTGAAGGATGCAATGAGAATGAGGCAAAGTGTACGATTTGCGATAGTTACTTAACTTAATTGGCAGCTATTACAATAAAATTGTGCTGACTGTGAGTTTAATCCGGGACGACTCAAAAGAAACATTCAAAATTTCCGCCTTTGTCCTCTTTTTTTGTTTTATTATGTCCTCCTTTTGGTCGTCCACCGCTAAGTGAGACTATGACTAAGTAAGTCTAAACCTAAATTATCTAGTCTAAACCTTAATTCATCTAAACAAACGACTCAATAGTCTATACATAATAATATAGTACTAGTCTCCTTTTTACTAGTACACACTACTACTATTATACTACTACTAGTTAGTTAAGTAGTACTGCTTTTACTACTACACCAACTACTTAGTTAACTTAGCTACTACTAAACTTACTAATAAATGAATCCCATTGAATCATTGAATCTGATAGACAAAATGTAATTATTATAATAATGGATGAAATAAATTAATGGGTAGTAAAACATCTAGCATTAATTAAATAAATGTGCACCAGCTTTATTTTAGTTAATTCTTCCGTTTTTCTTGCTAAGAAAAGAAATTCTACTGAAGAAGTCGTTTAGTGAAGCTGACTCACGATTTCACGAATTTGAATTTTCCGCTTGACACCGGAAGTGTACAATTTTATGGCTACGACTACGTACAATTATTTCGTTAGGACAAGAGTAAGCAAATAGAAAACTTGCTCATTAGTTAGCCTCACGAGTTCGCGCGTTTTGGTCTTTATTAGCTACGCATTGGTCTCGAATGTGTTTTAACATTTAGTACAAGGGGGTGGAAAACACACAAATGTTGCAAGATAAATATTAAAAGATCTATTCATTCAACAGTGTGCATTTCAAATAGCGTGTCCACTAGAATTTAAACAGAGATTTAGGCAAGAAAAGTGAAGCATAAGGACTGGGGTGGGATTGGGGGTTAGTGGATCTATGACGATTTCGCCGCCACCATTTCGCCAATGCCCGTTTCACCGACGCTGCTAAAGAAATTATTAAAAGTTTTAAAGAAAAAAAAGTGATAATTTAAATACACATGTGATTATAAAAATGTTGAAGTTTTAAGAAAATGTACGGTACCGGTATCCAAGTAAATGTCAATTTTTATTTTGTTAGTTTGTTAGTCTCCGCTCAGCGCCTACGTGGTAACATTGATACCGAATAAATTTTTTATTTTTTTTTTAAACTGATGTTTTAGCGTTTTAAAATGGATGTTTAACCACCCCCCCCCCCCAAACCCCAATAAAATCATTGGGGGGCTCTAGACAAAGTAGTGCACCGAGGGACCCCTATTCCTTTCCAACATATTCAAGTTATTTTAGGAACAGCATTTTGGGTCTACATTGGCCCATTCGTTATGTCTAGTACTTTTGTCAGACAATTTCAACGGGAAAAGTGCGGGGGAGAGGGGCTTTTCAGACGTTCGGGGAGGGCCTCATGGTGTCAAGGTATACGAATCACTGAGTTGGTGTGAATGGTTATCACCGTGAGTTGTGAGTATTAGGGATATTATTGTGGCAAATTGGGACCAATTGAAAGGAATAATAATAAACAAGGTGTTGAATATAAGGTGTGTCAGATTGAGTTGTCTTTTGAATCACAGGCGTTGAGAGTAAGTACACAAGAGTTCACGTGGATTTCAAGTTATTTCTGGGAGTAGCCCATTACAATTTAAATTGTAATACAAAATTATTTGGTTTAATAAATATAATCTTATTTTAAGTTAGAGACAAAACTACCAAAATAATTTAATATTTTGTTCGTTTGTTAGGGCGGATTTAGAAATTTCTGCCCTCTAGACAAAAGCATATAATTCTGCTGCCCCTCCCCCCCCCCACCAACCAAATATAGATATAACCTCCAATTTAATGTATAACATAATAGTTCTTTTTTGTATACATGAACCCTTAATACAATATTTAGAAAATTAAACTAGATTATATTGTGGTTTGTAAATTCAAACCTACAAAACTATATAATTTTATTTGATTTTCTAAAAAAATAGTTAAAAAATATTTGTAAATATGTGTTTGTTATTCTTCAGTTTATACGCCAACTGACAGCTGCGCCTTAGACCATGGTCTAAGTTGGCCCTATGGGTAATACGGCCTTGGTTAAGCGCCAGCGTGATGACTGATTGTGTCCATCTCGCGCCTACAGATGCGAAACGGTGACAAATGGCGTCCTTCTTGGCACCCATTTTCATGTGGCGCCAATACGTGCCATGTCTTGCCACACCCTCGGTACACCTCTGCGTGTCTGATGGTACAGAAATCAGACTTATACAAATCAGGATCGCAAGAAGAAGTTCATATAGTTATGCTGCTAATTCAAAGTCAGATTGCGGACAAAAATGAGAAAATGCCGTACAACTTATGACGCTGTCTCCGAAGAATCGAGCCTTCCTCCTCCCAAGAAAGGAAATGAGTAAAACAAAATAAGGGCAACCTGAAAAAAGGAACGCAACAAAACAACGAATGTATGCCAGGAAGCCTTCGTCAGCGAACAAACTACACCAATATATATATATATATATATATATATATATATATATATATATATATTTATTTAAAATAACACTTAGCTGAGAAGTACATGTAGTATCCGAGAGGGCAGGAAAAGAATTGTGGCCCCCAAGATTTGGTTATCCATTGGGCAAGATGGGCAACGGGCTCTGTGCATTCATATGTAGCTTAAAGGCTCCTAAGTCAGATTAAAAAGTTTCTAAATATCATGAACCCCTTTTCAGGGTCCGTTGGATGTAAAGTGCCCCCATCCCAATGACCGTAATCAGTCCCTGCCATATGCTGTTTGAGGTTTGGGTGGTCACATTTAGAATTATACCCAATTCAATATGGTTAAGAGAATAGAGCACCGGTAGCCTAAACCCTAGTTATGCGTAGCCCATTAGTTTGATGGAGCAGGTTCAGATCGAACTGGTTTGAGCAAATAAAAGTACTTCTAATGATCTAGTAAACCAAACCGGTTTTAAAATATTAAAATAATACACTTTAAATAGCCATTAACGCCTACATATGTTTTTTTCTTTTGAACCAAAAAGTACCGAGCTACATTTGGGCTTAGTTTAGTTGTTTTATTGGCAACACAATGCTAGTGTAGGTAAATTTCTCCAAGAACCAATAAATACATGATTACTTTTTTATTTTTAAATGCCGTATATATTAATACAGATTAAAACAGAACACTTAAAGTTAGGGATATGTAAATTTCTGTATTAAAAATTGGTCGTTATGGCTACCGTTAACGGTAACCTAGCTCAGAGTTAAAGAAGAAGAACGATTACGTAAATATAATTCTGTGTAAAAAGAGCAGACAATGCAACGCGTAAACAGTAGCAAAATCTTCACAACTTCACGTTTCTTCAAATTCCAAAATCCACGATGATAGAATTAGAAGTTTCAAATACAAATATACAGCATATGGATAATTTGCAGAAAATGAGACCACCAAGTGTGATTGACAGATACTTTAAAAAACGTTTTAAAACAGGTCATCTAAAATATAAAACCAGTCTAAGTAATACTAATAGTAATAGACTAAACTAATTACTAATAGGCTTAATAGGCTAATTGAAATTGACAATGTGACAATGTATTCTTGTCTTAAACTTAAGTCTTAAGTCTACTTGTTGAGTTTAGTACTGAGTTTAGTCATAATTTTAAGTATAAGTTAAATAAGTTAAACATGAAAAGTTCAGAAAAGTGGGGGTGGGGAGGGGTTACAAAAGCTTAGAAGTGGGATGGCATGACAGGTTGCTGTAATTTAATATGAAGGACCTCTTCACATCCACATCAGCCTTCAGCAGAGCAACAAAATGGGATGACATGAAATTGTATAATATTTTATTTTTATCCTTCTTTACTCATTACTGTTGCTTTTTGTACAGGGGAGGCATCACAAGGTATGGGCAATTAGTTACTAATGGCATTGGGAAAGATACAAAGAATCTAAAGTATCTTGATGTGTAGCTTATGGGTCAATGTGAAAAGTCCATGCCGTCACCATCACAACCAAGTCAGATGAAATAGATACGGGAGCACACTCAAGCACCCTCAGTTAACAACTGCCCTCTGTAGGCTGTAGGATGATAATAATATGTCAGGAAAGTCTTTGACGTTGTGTCAGAGTTATTGAGACTGGTCTACTAAAGGTGTTAGAAATAAATACTGGGCAGTGTGAACCATTTTTTTATGGGACAGTTTTATTTAATCAGGTAGTCTAGTCAGGTATGAGAGAGTGTGTGTCCATCTTGTATATTGTTGTGACCAACCTGTTTTGTTGTGACCTTGGGGATATGTACCTGGTTATTTATATTATATGTAAGTATATAATGTCAGACAAAGTCCTGTAGTGAAATAGCTCACCATGAAGATTATACTATTAATAATTTAAGTCAAATTTTATTCTATGATTATGAAATTCAAGAAATGTTTACATGTTTCTTAAATTCCTTACATACACTTCATAGAGCAAGTACTGTGTTGGTTAGACTTAAGTTGGCATTTTTAGAAGAAAAAAAAGTACATGGTAAACCTATGTCTGATAAATAAGCATTCAAAGTTGTGCTACTACTAAGAAAATTGAAAGGTAAATATTATTTAGCTTGTTTTATTTTCATTTCAGACGTTCAAAATAAAACTGGAGAAGATCAGTTAATATTAACACATTCTAATAGGTAGGCCTATGTATTGACTGTCTTTTGAAGAATAACAAAATGAATATTAAACGTAATATCTTACATTTATAAGTCTTTAAAAAAGATAAACACTCTATAAAAGGGTTCTTTTATTTAAACCAAACCATCTTAATTCTATGCATTTTGTTTCAGAGTTTGTGTTGTTTGCATTGCTGACTCCCATCCCTTGATAAGAGAAGGCAAGATAGCAACAAAAGTAAGCTTTGAAGATAAAGGATGGAACAGACTGGACAACAAGTTTTCTGGAAAGTCAAAAAGAGTATGCAAACAAAATAAATCTGTAATTAATTTTAGTTAGGTCTATTAAATGTATATTATTTAATAAACAACCTCATTTTGCCATAAATGCATTATATTTTATACTAGGTATAGCCCGCCAAACATTGGCGGTAGCAATGCATGAACTTCCTATCTACTTAAGTTACTTGACAAAAACGTGAACTCAAGCTACGCACATTTAAGAATGCCAAGTTGCTACACCCCTATCCCCCCTCCCCCCCCTGCCTTTCATGATACGTCACGGCACACTTTTTATTTCACGCCGGATTAGCAGACGCCGTGAGCTGGCTGGCCAGCGAAGGTTGATCTATATATAGCCTGCTTGGTGGTCGTTTTGTTGTTTGCCCTAGTTTCTGGCGAATTATATATATAGATTATTCAACCAAATCCACAAATTATTTTCTGACTAGGGGGCTCAGTGGTTGGACAGTCAAGCTCCATTGTGTCAAGTAACTTGCAGTGATGGAAGCTTGTATACACTAGTCTGCTGCATCAAGGGCCAGTTAATAGAAGTGAATGAGAGGCTTTTACAGAAACCCCATCTGATCACAGAGAAAGTATGTATCATGGTTAACTCTTTATTATTTTTATGTATTGCTTTAATGTGCTTTCCTTACCTTATTAACATTAACACCCATTTTTAGACATTAAAAAACCGCTGGTAATTAATTATGAAAAGTTATGTAGAAAGTGGTGCAAATGGTAACTTTTATGTTAAATCAGACAACTTCAATCAAGATTATTTTTCTAATATAATTTGTGAAAAAAGGGGATGAGAATGTAAAAAGTTGAAATCATACACTGAAATTCTTGTTGGCACTGATGAGGTAGGCTGCTTGTTGTGTATACAATTTAATTGAGGGAAATGATGCTTATATTTAATAATGAAAATAATCAAAATCAATTTTGCGCTCAATTTTGAAACAAACTTTTTGTACAAAACTGATTATCTTACTTACATACTTAAATATTGAAATAAAATAAACACCAGCATGCTCAGAAAAGGATAAAGTAACAACGGTATATCAAATTAATTGTTCTGTGGGTTTGGGAGGCAAGATTGACATTTGAAAATGGAAAGGGAAAGAAGAAAAGTTTGAAAAGTATTCCAAAAGGGCTGACAGCTAAAATGTGTTAATAACTCTGTACAGTGTAATTGTGGACCATCTGACACTGTTGTAAGAGAGTTTTCATTTTCACTTCCCAAATGTAAAATTCACAATTATGATTGAATGAGAAATCAATTTCTTTCAACCTGGGTTGGAAAGCTAAAGTGGGTTGACTACAAGACAGTTATTTGGGAATACCTGGGGTAGAAACATAAAGGGGATGGACTCTGAGACAGTTTGTTCGGGAATACTTGGGTTTGAAAGCTAAAGTGGTTAGATTCTGACATATGGAAATACGTCGAGTAGAAAGACTTAAGGGTGTGGATAGAATAGCCGGTATTTTTAGAATCATTAAGCACTTGAAAGAAATTAATTTCTAAATAGCTAAGATTATTTAGATTTTTAAAAAATTCTTTCTATTTGAAAACCTTTTCCAAGGATGATTTGGGACAAAGATGAGTTTTAAAATATGTGTCGTTATATTCGATTTAATTAATGCTTTGTATTGATAGAAGCTAAAAAAATATTGGTAAATGTTATTATTATTTGTTTATCTCTTGTAAACTGAACTTCATTTGACTAATATTTCCTACTTTCTATCACTCAGCCATGTGGTGAAGGCTACCTTGGTGTCTTACTTCCAGGTTTGAAGTGGTATGAGCGGGAAATGCAGAAGCTCAAATCTGAGGAAGAATACCAGTCCATATTGGAAAGCAGAGAAAATAATCTTACATGAAATTTTCTTTGTATTATAAAAAAAATGTTTGAAAGAATGTACAGATCTAATAAAGTGTAACTTGAACCACCACACTGAACTGAGTTATTTACTTGCTCCCCCAGATGCGGCTAAATGTGTCCTTGTGGGGTCCCTCCCGGATGCGTCTAAATGCGCCTGGTCACACCCCCTACTTTTAATTTCAATCTTATAATGAAATCACGCATCCCCATGAGGCCCTTTCTCGATCACATTAGGCACAACTGCTTGAGCCTTTACAAGCCTCATCGCCAACTGAGTGTGGATGAAGCCATGGTTGGTTTTCGAGCAAGACTTGCCTTCAAGAAATACATGAAAGATAAGCCTACTGCTTGGGGATTAAAATATGGTGCTGCCCTGATGCTAAGACAGGCTCTATTTTGAATTTCAAAGTGTATAACCGGGAAAAGAGAGGGAAGCTCCAACAATGAATTAGGCTATGATGTTGTCATGCCTTTGACTGAGCCCATTCTTGTCTTTTTTTTCTGGTCACCAAAACTTGCCCAAGATCTGCTGACACGTAACGCATACTGTTGTGCCACTATTAGGCCGAACTGCAAGGGCTTGCCTTGCCACTAAAGATATGCAAACAAAAGAGAGGGAAGTTCACCATGCAACAGAAGGGTTTACTAGTTGCATGCCAGTTCATCAGTCCAACATGATTTCGACCAATTCAAACCCAGACATCACATCATCTGAAAGAAGAACAAAAGACGGGATAGGTCAAGTTGAAATCCCAAGCAGTGTGAATTCGTATTACTCATACATGTTTGGGGTTGACCTAAGAGACCAGCACCAGTCTTATTACCTGTTGGTAGAGGCCGACCGAATTTCGGTTTCGGCGCCGAAAGTGGCCATTTTATCACTTTCGGCCAAGTTTCGGTTTCGGCCGAAACTGGAAAGTTAACTTTCGGCTTAATTTCGGTTTCGGCCGAAAGAGAAAAGTTAACTTTCGGTTTTTCTTCGGTTTCGGCCGAAATTGACTTAGACTTTCGGCCATCAGGCCGAAAGTTACTCAGGTTTTCGGTTAATTAATACTAAGCGAAAGCGATATTTTACAACAAACTAAGCGACATTTAAGAACAAATTAAGCGATCTTTGAGAACAAACTAAATGATATTTAAAAACAAACTAAACGACATTTATGAACAAAATCACCGATCTTTAACAACAAACTAAACGATCTTTAACAACAAACTAAATGATCTTTAACAACAAACTAAGCTTTCTTTAAGAACAAATTAAGCGATCTTTAAGATTAAACTAAGCGATATTATAGAACAATCTAAGCGATCTTTATGAACAAACATAAATGATCTTTAACAACAAACTAAGCTTTCTTTAAGAACAAATTAAGCGATCTTTAAGATTAAACTAAGCGATATTATAGAACAATCTAAGCGATCTTTATGAACAAACTCACCGATCTTTAACAAAAAACTAACCGGTCAATAACAACCAATTAAACGGTCTTTAACAACAAACTAAGCGATCTTTAACAACAAACTAAGCGATCTTTAACAACAAACTAAGCGATCTTTAAGAACAAATTAAGTGAACTTTTAGAACCACATTTTTTAGAGACCCTGTTTCAAAAAAATAATATTTTGCATTAATTTCCTCTCCTCCCCCCCCCACCTCCCTATTTCCGCCAAATTTTCTCCTACCATACAAATTTGAAAAAAATTGTAAAGCATTTAAATTAGTTTTATATTAAAATGGTAAAATCCAAAGTATTCATTAGATCAAGGGTATCAAACTCAAATTATGGGGGGGGGGGCGCAGGAGGTAGTGTCTGAATGAGAGTGGGCCGCATCAAGTAATCCACAAAAAAGCGATTACAACTGTTACAATCTGCCCAACCTTTGTAAATAACAAAAAAAAATCATTAAGGGTTCTCAAGAACTAGGTTTCACTTTCATCCATCTACTCACTGTTGCCAGAGAGCTGGCATACAAAAATATATAGAGACATTAAAAAAAAGGTTACCGGAAATTTGATCGAAAGAAATTTCGTCGACGGTAAATTGATTTTCGTCAAATTTCTTTTTGAACGCACTATACTATATAGTAAAACAAAATAATGCGTTCAAAAAGACATTTGAAGCAAAATTTAAACGTAAAAACGGAAAAAAAGATTCGACCATATTTCCGTTCGATCAAATTACCGTCGATCAATTTACTGTCGACGAAATTACTTTCGATCAAATTTCCGGATACGGTTCTCAAGAACTAGGATTCACTTTCATCCACCTACTCACTGTTGCCAGAGAGCTGGCATACAAAAATATATAGAGACATTAAAAAAAAAAATCAGAATTAGATTAGTCGGTGAGATTCGACTGAAATCGTCGCGGAGAGTCACGTTATATATATGAGAATGGGGGAAACGGGCCGGCGCATTTACACTAAACTTTTCTGTCATGTAGCGGGCCGCAAAATATCGTCTTGCGGGTCACAAATGGCTCGCTGGCCGCGAGTTTGAGAACCCTAAATTAGATTTTTATTTATTAATATTTACGATTATCTCATTTTTATAAAAAGAATGTAAATATTTATATTTTCCCACATCATTTTCGATGTAAGCAGAATGTATGCGGGAACGAATTTCAAAATATCTTAATATTTCATTTTCGGTTTCGGCTTCGGTTTCGGCCGAAATTCATTTTTAACTTTCGGCTTTTTTTCGGTTTCGGCCGAAAGTCATTTTTAAACTTTCGGCCTTTTTTCGGTTTCGGCCGAAAGTCATTTTAAACTTTCGGCCTATTTTCGGCTTCGGCCCAAATCAGAAAATCACGTTCGTTCGGTCTCTACCTGTTGGTAGACCAAGCCATAAGTGGTAGAGGTATGTATCTCTTCTGGTACCTAATTCATATCTCCATCATCAATGCTTATCTGTTAATGAAGAAGATGAACCCTAAGTCCCCGCTCAGTCAGAGCAACCTCAGGTTCAGATCAAAGCTCACGCAGCAACTGCTGACTATGAAAGCAGTAACCTCATCAGAAAGGGGTTGCCATAACAAGCCTGGTGTTGCAGAGATTGCCATTCAGCCTCCAGCATATTATGCTCTCTTACAATGCCAGGCAGACAAAGAAGATGCTACCAGTGTTCCGTGGTTGAGGCAAAAATGCCCAGTGGCAGGACCAAAGAGACAACTAAAGGCTGCCATTTGTGCCAAGTATATTTGCATGGTGGGCATTGCTACAGCACATATCTTGACACTTTAAAGAAGTAAATTCTTTATTACAGTGTAATTACAGCTGGATTAAATATTGAATTTTATTTTGGTAAAAATGCAATTTTGTTATATTTTTTAAAATTTTGTATTGTAGTTTGTTCTTTTTGTACCACTAATGTTATAGTTTTCTGAAAGCTCACCCATTTCTGAGTGCACTGATATTTTTAAAGTTTCAATTGACTACTGTTTAGGTATTAAAAACATCTTTTTGAAAAGAAATATGTTATAAAAATCGGAGTAGCTTCCCTTACTTTCAGGAAATTTTAGTTAAACAGGAAGTGAGGGCTCAGGAGGGAATGAGTTAATAACTATTACTTGAAGTGCTCAGTGTTGTCATAATGTTCTATTTATATAAGAATGAGCTAGGCTGACTGTAACGCCAAAGAAACGAAGAGATTTAAATATGTTTGGATTTTTAAAAACAATCATTATTTTCCGGAAATCGAATACATTTAAAAGCGCAAAAAGTATTATATATCCACTTTTATTTTGGTAAAACTTGAAGCATCATTATTATAAATTACAAATACATTTAAAGTATCGGGTAACAACTAAGTAACTGTTTTAAGTACTTTATCCGAATTTAAAAGTTATGAAACATTTTTAAAATAAAAAATTAATTATGATCTAAGAATTACATCGTAATCACATTTATCGGGACAACCTAAACATCTGTTGTTTTTGGTGCGTTTTTTAGTGCGTTGTTAAGAACTTTTGGGTATGGTGCGCTCAAACTGTACCCAGCATGGGGACCACCAAATCAAGAACTCTCGGGGCCCTGTGGGACTGGAACATCAAACTTTGATGCGGAGCGGTTGAGGCTATTCACAGGGCTCTAGAGAGCGTTTATCACACGTTGAAAGGGACAGGGCTTGCGGGGCTCAATGTGATCGTTTACTCGGACTCAAGATCTGCTCTCGAGATCTTGGAGAAGAGATCAGGTACCACTCACCTAGTTGACTTCATCAATGATGACGTGTGCAAGATCGGTAAACTAGGAGGCAAGGTGACAGTGCAATGGATCCCAGGTCACGTCAACGTCAGTGGCAATGAGAAAGCGGACACACTTAAAAAAACCGGGATGCCCAGCCTCAGCCAGAGGTACGAATAACTTATTATGGAAGAAAGAACTGGCTGGCAGACCGCTTTAGGTCAAAGTGGTACAGGCAATGGGCAGACAATACGACTGCTAGAGGCATCTTTTCAAATTTGCCCACTCCTAGCAGACAGGACCCATGGTGGGGGTTAGGCCGTAGACAGCAGAGTTTAGTGACGCAGGTACGCACTGCGCACTGCCCCATAGGCACATACTTCTGGCTGCTAGATAACAACAGGGACCCTACCTGTCGGCTTTGCAGCCTGGTCTCGGAGACACTAGCGCACCTGTTAACCTAATGTCCCTCACTAGATGTCCCGGGGGAAGTCAGGGTGGTTGGAGCGCCCTTCATGGGGAAAATGTATGGCTCAGCTCAGCAGATGGAGCTGGTAGCCAATGTACTAGCCGGGGTGATAAGAGTGTAATCTCAGACTTACACTAGGATATGTGTTAATGCGTGGTTAATATTGCGAAATAAAAATAACAATTAATTTGATCTAAATAAGCGCGATAGCCTATTTTAGCCAAAGCCCTACGTTTCTTTGATTTAATATAATAATAATAATAAGACGTCTTATATAGCGAGGTACCCCAGCCAAGGGCTGGGCTCACCGTGCTGTACATAAAAATTTTATCAAATGAGACATAATCATGACATTAATATAAAATACATTTATGAAATAAAGAACAGCGTGAAAGAACTGATAATGTATTTTCCCCTTCTTAAAACTTAAGTGAAATTAATAAATATAATTGATTGCTTTTTAAATTGTTAATAAAACACACACAAATTTAGCTTTGTATTTTTAACATTTAATAAGTTTTTATTTTTTATTCATGACAAAAATAAACTTTTATGAAATTTATGAAGTCACAAAACTTAAACTT